TGTAGTGTACTCTGTAGGAGACCAATGAAGTGTGGAGTGAGTTTGGTGACACTACACTGTATTATAGTGACGTTACTGAATATTTTTGTAATATCTCTTTTCGGTGTTGCACTTTGTAGACGGTCCCTGCGCGCTGTGCTCAAAGCCGGCTGCACGTAAACACCAATGTTCTTGGTGTGGCTCAGAGGACGGCTCATTTTGATGAATATTATGTTGTAGCTCGTTGTCTATCTTACTACGATTGAAAATATGTGTGTTTTGTGTTTTAACAACGTTTCACTTAAGAGTTACTGATCCCGGAAGTTCGAATCTGCCAATATCTTTCCAACTTTACCTAGCTACATGAAGTGACAGTCACACCTAGTGACAGCGACTGGTTCCACTTTTTATTTTATACCTGATGTAGTGACGTTTGACAGATTGAGACATTTGTCTTGAAATAATGGCCAATGGTCAAAATTGAATATGATTAACCATGATGAACCTACATTTAGTCAGCCACTGAAGAGGTACTTGAACTTAACCGAATATTTTCTGCAGCCTTCTGTTTCTGCTGTACTGCATTTAGGGTAAGTTCAGGGTGAGTGGGACAGTTTTTGGTTTTCTGCATTGTGTGAGATTTCTGGCTATGGATTTCAAAAAATAACCCAACATATGATACATTTCTGTAATGCTGAAGATGTTACCTATCCATTTGAGGAGGAAAGAAGATCTGATTATGTTCCATGGATGCATGGCATACCCTTTTTTGTGAACTGACTAAAATTTGTTTTTGTGTGTGAGATTTGGGTGAGTGGGACAACACATTTGTTTAACTTTTTGTTCTCTCCCTTTACTTTTCTTCTTGCCTTCTCATTCCCTCTCTGCCTCTCTGGTGCCATTCTTTCTGCAGTGGATTAATCGGGATTAGTTTGGAAAGAAATCAAGTCTAAACTTTGTATAGGTTGACATTTGATGAACAAATGTTCCCTACTGTTGTTACTTTGAAAAGCCTTTACGTCTGCATCTAGTACACATATTATCTGATAACTGTGTTGCATTGTATTGGCAGGGGTGTGTGTATATGTGTGTGTGTGTGTGTGTGTGTGTGTGTGTGTGTGTTCCTCTATATATCCTGTCATCAACAATAGGCTTGAAGAGTTGGGGACAATCTGCAAATTAGATCCTGGGAAATAATCTGTTATCATGCATCCCTAGTAGGCTGGGTACACTTGCTGTTTATGCTAGCTGTTTTGCTAGCTAGGTAGTCGGGCTAGCAGTAAAATTGAGGTGCTCCATCAACAATTGTGTGGTAGATTTTGGGTCTGCACACACAAGAAGGTTAGGAACTATTAATCTGGAACATATATAATGATTTCCTATGGCAGGATTGATCATTTTTATTCATTAAGAGTGCCTTTTGGTGCTGTCCCACTCACCCAAAACCATGCTGTCCCACCCACCCAAACACACAAAATAAAAATAGCCTAATTCCATAAATGTAAACATAATCTTAACATTTTTTTTCTGATTTTATTGTAGAAGTGCATCAAATTCATGTTTCCAGCAAATATTTCTGCAATATCTTGGCAAAAACGTTTTTATAACCTTATGATCATAACAATCAAAATCTTATGCCATTTTCCTCACCTTGGGTTATGCAGGGTCAACTTCCTGATTGATGTTGGCCCCGCCCCCACATGTGACATCACACCAATGAGTGTAAGCAACTCTGATAATGTGGTTTCACAGCAAGGCTCAGCAAAAAAAGTTTTTATTTTCAGTGACCAGGGGAGAAAATACAGCCAATTTACTTATACTGTCCCACCCAACCTGATGTCCCACTCACCCTGAATTAACCTTATTAGATATTTAAGTCACATGTTAGTTTGCAGATTCAGATTGACAATAAAAAGCACAGTCAACAAATAAATTGTGATTAAGATCAAACTTTATTGATCCCCAGGGTGAAGTTTAGACGAGCCTACCCTGCAGATAAAATACTGTAAATCAGCTCCACCTTTACCAGCTGATGCGTAAAGAAATTACAGAAGTTAACACAGTAAAAAAAAAAGGTACAGATGTCACATTTATGTGGGTCTGTGGGTTCATTAGTGGACAAGCTGGGGAAACAAGCTCAATAGAAGCTGTGTGGATGTGAACCCAGTGGTGTCAAAAACATAACTGCTGAATGTTTAATTTTGAGAAATGCAAAAGAAAAGAAAACACTGAGGAGAAATGGAAGTAGGTAAATGGGGGGACAGGTCATGTGACAGGCCCACAGCTGGTATTGGAGATAGTGGGTTAGAAAGTTGTTTTTGAGGAGGACAGCACAGCAGAGCAGTCATGATAAGAGGAACTTGACTCTTATAGGAGGAGGTAACCAGAAGATTGCTGTAAGCACAAGGGCGGCAGCTGCGATACAGGAAGAGGAGGACTTGAAGCAGGGCGGGGCCACCAACTGTAAACATCACATGTCCTGGGACTTTGTCCTTCTACAATAATAGTGTTTGCTGTCATACAGGTTTTTTGGTGATGGTGAATTATGCAGACTGTGTCAGGTGAAATGACTCCAGTGAGTTACAGGAAGGAATTATCTTCGTCTCTCTGTCAGTGTTTCCTCTTCTGATGAAGGAAGAACATCCTGGTCACTTGATGTGGATGTAAAGTCAGCAGGTTTTTATTTTCATGGTTACTCAGAGTGAAACGCAGCCGTGCAGTCCAGCAGCAGTGGACACTCAGTACTTTTACATTCAATTTTGACTTACTTTTACTTTCTACTTTCACAAGTAACACTCCACAATATTTTTTGACAGCTTTAGTTACTGCAGCCTGTTACTTTGCAGAGAAAGATTTGTACACAAAACCTTTAATCAGAATATGATGAAAGGTTAATTGCACGTAAAGTAAAGTCAGCTCCACCGTGACCAGCTGCAACATTAATATTATTAACTGATTATCATTTAGTCTATTCTGAGTCTTATTTTGTTCAAATCTCAAAGATACTTGGTTTAAAATCATATGAAAGAGAAAAAAACAGCAAATCCTGACTTTGGAGGAACTTGAACCAGAGCGTTTTTAACTATTAAAACTATTTTTCTGCCGATGAACTAATCGTTAAATCAACTAATTATGATCTAAATATTCAGTTTTTAAATTCAAAGGCAGGACTTGTGATTTTTACACTGTAGTTTTGCTACTTTCACTGAGGTTAAGGATCTGATTTATGAACACCTATTTTGATTTTTAAATCTGTTGATGTGATGTCACAAACCTTGGATGGATCTCTCACTAGAATTCTACTGACAGGATGGATCACAATTGTAATTTAGACCTTGTTATTAGGTCTAACTAGGTCTTCGACGTTATTTGTTATCAGCCCAGCTAATACAACATGTTGGGTGTGTTTGTGTTTAGGTGTACTGTCTACCATGAGTCAGTCTGAGGAGAAAGATGAGGGGGTCCCGACCTTCAGCACCTCTCTGTCTGAGGGAGATGAGAGGTAAGATGAAGAGGACTGTCCATGTTAAAAGTATGTGTAAAGAGTCAGGAAAGTCTCAGTGCTGTGTTAAAGAGGAGGATGTTACTCATTCAGACTCTCACAAATGTTTCTGTTTCTTGGATTCAAAGTTTTTGGCTTCTAGTCAAAAGGCTTCTAGGTTTTAAGGTCTGATTGAAATTTGGTTTACTGTGTGTTGTAACCTAACTTAACCTGTCTGTCAATGCTCCATCTCTTTTAGGACTGAGCAGAAAAGAGCAGAAAAGAGCAGATTCTCCTGCAGATTCTCATGGAGTGACCACTCCATGGATTACCCCATGGTTTTCAAACAGTAAGAATTAACTTAAAGGGGAACTAATGTTTTTTCAACCTGGACACTATTTTCCGATCTACTTTTGTCTAAATGAGTGATAGGATGTTCAGTATGTGACATTTCTCCAGTACGAAGCTAGGGCTGACCTGCCTGCAGCCCGTGAGCGCGGGCTATATTAAATAATAGGGCACTCAAAATACGTCCACTAAAAGTGCATTTTTTTCACACAGATAGTCTCGGATTGTTAGTATAATTATCTGACAACTTAATGGTAAGGAGAAATGATCTTTTGTGTTTATCTTTAGCTGGATTCAGACATGTTCCTCTGCCTGTTGCTGCTCCCTCTCTCTCCTCGTCCGCTCTTCAGTTTCAATGAGCTCTGCGTCCATGTACGTCCGTGGACTGGCTCTGAAATCTCACGTCTCGGGAAATTTAAAGTTGTTGCAGGAAGTTACCGCTGGAGTGAACTTACAAACGCGAGGAGTTACTCTGTTTGGAGTAGTCATGGCTGAATTTTTACCTGATTTTGACCAACTGGATCTGGATGAGCCATTTGAATTTGATGACCGACCGTATTTATTTGACCATGGAGTACACGGATGTACACAGACGCAGAGCTCATTGAGCTCATTATCAGGGCCTGAGTCAGCAGAACATTTTGAGCATGAATTCTCTGAGATGGAGTATAACAATATTATATAATGCTACTTTAACAGTACTGCTTTATGTATTTAAATCTGTCTGCCTCGTCTTTTAATAACTACAGCTCAACATTGTCCATGTGTTGTATAGATTTAGAACCCATGTTTAATCTGTTTTAAATGTGATGTAGCCTGAACTTTGTTTCTTCAGGGAGTGTTTTTTTTCTTCCTTTCTCAAAAGTACCAGATCTCTCTTCAGTCACTGAGCTTCTAACACCTCCACCTGTCTGTCAATGCTCCATTTCTTTAAGGTCTGAGCAGGAAAGAGCAGATTCTCCTGCACCAAGCCTTGTGTCCATGAAGAGTGACCAGTCCATGGATTACCCCATGGTGTTCAGACAGCAAGATTCACTTTCTGTGTAAGTCATCAGAACCTTTTGAGCATTTATTTCCTCTTAGTCATCTTCTAACTACACCTCTTTTTGTTATTTGCAATGTTATTTCTGCCAGTCTGTCCTAATAATGAATGTCTTAAGCCCTATTCGGACGGGATTAGTTTTACATAGGGATGAGGGGTAAAGTAATAATTACCAGAGATTTTAGTCCCGTCCGAATGTGCCATGTTAGTAATCATTACCGCATGATGTCAGTAAAGATTACCGCAACTTTTACCTTCTGTAAAAGGGTCCAGGACAATTACCTCAGGTAATACTAATCCTGTGCGAATAGACCAGCAGTAAATATGTGTGTTAGGGCTGTCAAAAAAAAAAAAAAAAAAATCGAAGTTAGAAATATATTCGAATATATTTTTTATTTTATAAGTTCAAACCTAAATTTGATCATTTGAATATCATTAATAATTAATTAATACTATCAATAATGTTATATATCACGGCGAATCCTGTTCGGGATGCAGCGGGAGGGAGAGGCGCCGACGGAGGAGCCCGCTGCGCCAACACCACCCACTGCACTGTCCGCGATGTGTGACCTGTTCGGGAAACATACAGGGAGAGTGTTGCACCTGCTGCCTCCCTGCCTACACTTTTTGAAGAAGAGATGAAACGTTACCAGAATGAGACACCACTACAAGCCGACCAGGATCCACTCTTGTGGTGGAAAACTACGCACTGAAGGGCAGCAGTGGCTCAGTCCATAGGGTCTTGGGTTGGGAACCGGAGGGTTGTCTGTTTGAGTCCCTAACCGGACCAAAATATGGAGTGTGGACTGGTGGCTGGAGAGGTGCCAGTTCCCCTTCTGGGCACTGCCGAGGTGCCCTTGAGCAAGGCACTGAATCCCCCAACCGCTTAGGGCGCCTCACCAAGGGCAGCCCCCTCACTCTGACATCTCTCCACTTTGTGCATGTATAGGTCCTGTTTGTGCATGTGTGTGTCTTTTGGACCTGTGTGTAATTGACAAGCAAGAGTGAAAACATTGAATTTCCCCTCAGGGGGATTAATAAAGTAAATAAACTAAACTAAAACAAATATTGCTCAGATAGTGAGGCAGAAGTTGATCATACCTGGCACTTCAGTGAGGTCAGAACGGGTGTTTTCATCTGAGTGTCATGTTCATGTTGCGTCAGCAATAAGCATCTTATTTGTTGTGTTTTTTTTTTGTAAAAAAAAAAAAAAATAATACTAATACTAATACTACTACTACTACTAATAATAATAAATTCTAATATTATTCGAACTCTACTAAATTAATTCAAAAATATTCAAACTCAATTTCATGGTGCTTTTGACAGTCCTATCATATGCACATGACGACAGGAGGGGGGGACTGCGGTGCGTGAATGGATTTACCCCTCCCACTTGTGGTAGTTTTACTGATATTTCTTATCCCATGTGAATCGGCCATTAATATTACTGACGTCCTGTGGTAAAGTGACATTACCCCACGTGCCCATGTAAAACTAATCCCGTCCGAATAGTGCTTTAGAGTGCAGTGTGGTCAAACACCCTTTTAACTGTCCTCATGCTTCTAGACTAACTGTGAACACATCGCAAGACTTTCAAGAACTTTGGTCCAGAGATGGTCAAAATAGTTTTTTCTTCTTCATTAGCTGCTCACCACTTTTAGGATCATTTTCAAAATGTTACTTGACTGAGAAAGCGTGACATGGTAATCCCCTTTCTACGGAGTAGAGTTGGAGAGAGGAGCCTCAGGTCCTCAGAGCAGAGAAGTTTGGAGGATGTTTAAAGGTCGGGGCTGAATAACTGAGGAGCAATGAAGGCAAAAGCATGATCACCTTGAGGTTAGAACTGTCCATGGTTAAGTCTCAGAGAGGCTGAATTACTGCACATTTTTAGAAGCATCTTAACAATCATTTGTTTTCATGCTGGGGAAAGCCGTGGCCGGAGGCATTATGTTTTTGGGTTGTTTTTGGGTTGTCCTTCCGTCCGTCCGTCCCATTCTCAATAGGGGGGATCAAAATAAAATAAATAAATAAAATAAAAATCAACCAGCCACCCTCCTCCCCTGACAAGTAAAGAACAGTCCCTCCATAAGTAAAGAACAGTCCCTAAAGTGCGGTGAGGTTTGTGGACCGTTACCTGCCACAAAGAGAGAAATGTGAACGGCTCTTTTCTCCTCTGACATGCCACATACCTGTGTGCCTTTTTTTCTCGGTTGTTCAGGTACTACTGTGCAGTCATGACTCCAACGAAAGAGGAAATTACTGGACCTGGAGTCGGACTATTCCTGTCTGTGACCCCCGTTCAACCCACAACCGCCAGGATTCGCCTTTCCTTTCTGCTGCTGGTTGAAACGTGATAACAGTTCACACCCACTCCACTAACTTGACGTGGAAATGAGCAGTAGTCTAGAAAACTGGCGAGTTTCTTTCTTTTTTTTTTTGGAGGGCGCTCGTGCTCCCTCACATAGATTGCACCCTGGGCGGTCGCTCACATTGCCCATAGAAAAAACCGTCCCTGTGTCTGTCTCATTCTTGTGAATGCAATATCTCAAGAAGGCCTTGAGGGAAATTCTTTAAATTTGGCACAGACTTTCTTTGGGACTCAGGATTGAACTCATTAGAATTTGATGGTCAAAGGTGAAGGTCACTGTGACCACAAAACAAAAAACATGTTTTTGACCATAACTTTCACAAATTTGCACAGAAATGTCTTGGATATGTCTAATGATGTCTAATGATGAAGTGATGATATTTTATATCCAAAAGGTCAAAGACCAGCTTCACTGTGACATCATAATGTTTTGCAAAAACACTTTTTGGCCATTACTCAACGTCATTTCTCAGGAACAGAAGGGGAGACATTTGGTCAGATACTGAATTGGTGACACTAATCTTGAAACTGTGCTGATTGTATAGATCTTCTGTGCTGTTGGGGGGGCAAATGAGTATGAAGCATGCATGTTTTCACAGACATGGATGTAAACTGTAAGATAAACTTGACTGATTCGTGGAGGCATATAACCATGGGGTGGTATTTCTAGTCTTGAACACGAAATGGTGTCTAAGGTCTGACTGAAATTTGGTTTGCCACGTGTCCTAACTTGTGACACACATCACCTCACTTCACAGCCGTTAATACTTCCTCCTAATAGTTCCACTTCCACCCTCAGTACACTGTTAGTGTCAGAAGAGTCTTGTGTTGAAGAGGATGTTACATAGTCATATTCTTGCAGATGTTTCCTGGAGTCAAATCTTTTGGCTTTCAGTCAAAAACCTGATCACATTTCGATCACTGTTCTAAGGTCTGACTGACGTTCATCCAGTTTGGTTTGCTATGTGTGTTGTAACATGTAACAGACACCATCTTTCTAAGGTCATTGAGCTTCTAACACCTCCACCTGTCTGTCAATGCTCCATTTCTTTCAGGACTGAGCAAAAAAGTGCAGATTCTCCTGCACCAACTTGTGTGTCCATGAAGAGTGACCAGTCCATGGATTACCCCATGGTGTTCAGACAGCATGATTCAATTTCTAAGTAAGTCAACAGAACATTTTGAGCACAAATTCTCACAAATAGGAGTAGAACTATATTATATAACACTATTGTAATGTTATAACATCGTTTATTTAAATCTGTCTGCCTTGTTTTATATTCACAGCTGTACCTCATCCATCCATTGTACAGATTTAGAATCAGGTTTAATCTTTTTTAAATGTGATGCAGCCCGGATTTTGTTTCTTTAGAAAGCGATTCTTTCATCTTCCTTTCTCAAAAGTAACAGATCTCTCTTCAGTCATTGAGCTTCTAACACCTCCACCTGTCTATCAATGCTCCATCTCTTTCAGGGCTGAGCCGGAAAGAGCAGATTCTTCTGCACCAAGCCTTGTGTCCATGAAGAGTGACCAGTCCATGGATTACCCCATGGTGTTCAAACGGCAAGATTCAATTTCTAAGTAAGTGAGCAGAACATTTTTAGCACAATTCTTCTTAAGAGGGGGTATATCTATATTGTGTAACACTACTGTAACATTACTGCATTGTTCATTTGACAAACTGGTGTGGAAAAACCCAGGTATTTAACCTCTGAGGAGGTCTTCACAAGGCCAAAGATGTCATTGGTTCGTTAGTGCTCCACTGGTGTGTCAACGACTGTCGTTGAAACTCCTGCTGCAACGGTGGTCAGTAATGAGCTGCAAACCCCCTGTAACTCTGTTCACATTGTTAGCACTGTAAGCACGGCCAGTGGAATGGTAAAGAGGTTTTGTGGCTCAAAATAAAGCCACTTACTCACTGAGTCTGTCTGGAAGGAGACTGGAAGGTGGCAACCAGGTTTCCACAGCAACGTTGTTGCTAATCGCTGAATAACCGGCAACGCTAGCTAATGTTAGCTCCAACCCAACCCAGGTGGTGTGGAGGGCAGAGTGGTCAAGGCTAATGTTAGCTAATCAGTGGAGAATGTAGGGTGGGCGGTGGGCACTTTGTTTATGCATGTTAATGCAGCTAGTCTCCTGTCTGTCAGCAAGAAAATAAAATAAAAGTCAGGAGATTTACATCACTAAAGATTAAACAGGGTTGCCAACTTTTCAAAAAACCTTGGAGTGAGATTCAGCGGAGCCGACCACAATTTTGTTATGTAAGCCAACACATAAAATTTTTGTTTGTCAACTGATTATGTAGATGATCCCCTGCATCCTAATGGATTTTTGGGGCACCTGCTGGAGATGGATAGGGTCTAAAACCTTACATACAAATACCATACAGAGAGAGACAATGGTGGTATAGTGGGGGTCTGGGGGTCCGCAGATGTGGTAGATGTGATTTCCTGCATTCTGGTGGGTTTAGGGGCAGCATTCTGGAGATGGGCAATACCTACATTCATTCAAAGCCACCCTGACTTGCAGGGACTTCACAAATGAACCTGCATTCACCTCAGAGTGACTGAACTAGTTAAAACCAGAAACTAGGACTTGCCTATGTGGCATATAGGCTATTACTTTATAGACACATGACCCATTTTGGATTTAAACCAAAATTCATGGTTGGAATGGTTGAATATATTTTGATTAAGATCTAACTAAATATTATTTTGGGAATAATAATATATTTTGTGTATTATTGTAGTCTAAAGAGCATCTAGACCTAGGCCATTTCATTTCATTTTTGACATTTACAAAGCTCTCCAAATGCCTTTTGACTTTTGGCTGTGGAAATTAATCGCAAAGTCACTTTTATGCTGTAGATATTTTTTCTCAGCCAGTTATATTCTCTCCTCACCTGTGAAGACCCTGCATGGTCATCCTTGCTGGCCTCTGGTCCACTGTCTCTTCCCTGACCCTGCTCTTTCTATTGTAGCAATAAGGATAAAACAAAAATATGTGGAAAGCAAAATTTTGAAATAGAATTAGGAGTAGTAGTCGTGAAATTGCTGTGGAAATTAACCTCAAAGTCACTTTTATGCTATAGATATTTTCTCTCAGCCAGTTATAATCTCTCCTCTCCTGTGAAGACCCTGCATGATCATCCTTGCTGGCCTCTGGTCCACTGTCTCCTTCCTAACCCTGCTCTTTCTATTGTGGCAATAAAGATTAAAAAAAATATGTGCAAAGCAATAGTGTGCACAAGTTCTTATTTAAGAGTGGGTTTATTCCTAGCATGAAACTAGCTAGCAAACGATTTAACATAGGTAACAATAACATTAGTATTCTTGTTAATTAGCTTAACTTGATACATTGGCATCTATTAATTAGTCATCATTTAGCTAACATTATCTACATGCAACAGCATTACTCAACTTACACGGTTTGTTTGGAAGAAACTGTGCAAGGTTTTTTGCTTCTTGCTGGCTGGTTTGCTGAACATAGTTAACACACAGCAGCATTGCCCAGCAGCACACGTGTCCTCTGTGCGATTGATTCAGATCACAACAGGACAGCGTAGTCGGCTGACTGTGAGGCTAGAGCTGCCCAATCAAAGCGCAAATATGGATTGCACACCAATCGCTCAACCGGTACGCCGGTCAGGCGGAGTCTGCCTCTCTCCTCTCCTCTCCCCTCTCTGAAGTCTGGCTGCAAACTTCAACTCCGCCCACCCAGCGCGCTGGCTGTTTGAAATTAATTTAAAATACTCAGCTGCCAGCCTTTTTTCCAGCGTTCGTTGCTGGCGTGAGAATTGGTTGGGCAGAGTGAGACCGTGAGATGGAAGGTGAATGCGTATGTCACACGCCACATGCGTAAGAGTTTGCAATCCTGGATTCAATTTTACTATTCCTAACAGATAGTGCTTTCAATTGCGGCGCTAAATGTCACTAAGTCAGTGTTGTTTTTCTTTTTCTTAAAATTAACCACCAACCTCTTAAAGCTAAATAAATTAAAACTGACATTCCTAAATGCAACATTAAATAATATTATGATTCATTGCAAAAAAAAAAAAAGTTCTTGTGGTATTGCAGTGCATCCCCAGTGGCTTGGCATCCCATCTCTTGTCAGAGGTTTGGTTTTGCGTATGAGGTGTATGTGTCTGCTTACATTGTTGACAGTTAAAGTCCAGTTTTCGTCACTAATGGATCATGTTTTCTTCACAGAGTTCACCAGGAGATGTCAGATGTTTCCACTGATAGTGAAACTGGGCTGGACTCCATATTTACGGTACGTAATGAACAAACCCACCATTAACTGTTATTTAAAGGATCAGAGTATATAATTTAGGGGCATCTATTATCATAAGTGGAGTATAATATTCATAACTATGTTTTCAGTAGTTTTTAGTCACCTGAAACTAAGAATTGTGTTTTTGTTACCTTAGAATGAGCCGTTTATATATCTACATAGGGCACGAGTCCTCGTCCACAGTCTAGCATGTTGCACTGCTGTGTTTCTACAATAGCCAGAATGGACAAACCAAACTCTGGCTCTTTATAGGGCTTTTCATGATGTTTTTATGTCATGTCATGTCATGTCATGTCATGTTATGTGTCCCTACGCGTTTGGAAAGGGTCACTCAGAAAGTAGCAAAAACAAAAACAAAACAGATTTTCCAATGAGAAAAGCTTTCAGTGTCATTCTTTGCTCTTCTTTCAACAAAGAAATATTCCTCAGTGTTGATACAACTGATGCTATTGCAGCATCTAAGCTAACTTCTTCAGGAGACAACATTTTTGTTTTGAACAACAATGAACAACAATGCCTCTCCGTGTTGTCAAACCTAAACCACCCCCCATAGCTGCCAGTAGCTCCTCACAGGATGCGTATTTGTGGTGGTGGTGGTTAGGACACAAACATTAGCTTTTGCATTGTGATATGGTGAGAATCAGCTGCCATGCAAGGTAAACGTGAGCTTGTGAGCTGCTTACTGACAAACAGAAACTGGATCCAGGCACTGTTGTACACTTTTCCAATATTAAATATTTTGTGTCTCTATACCAAAAAGGGAAAATCCACAAATACTTGGGCACTGACAACATTTTGTATTGGGAAAAAGCGGTTATGTTAGCAAGGCTAAATATGCATCCATCACCTAGGCTAAATGGCTAAGGGAAGTGTGGCTAGTTAGCAAGCCAAGCAAGTGCCTTGATAGTGACCCCTTGGCTAGGGACCTTCCTTACCTCCTGTCTGACAGTTGAATCAATAGCAAAATTACGAACTGATTGAAGAGGTTTTTTAACCGCAGGAGAAATAGCAAGCGTGTTTTTCAAAATTTGAGATCATTAAATGTGAACTTTTATTCACTGACAGATGGAACTCATGGCATGCTGATAGTTTATAAGTTGAATGTAAGTGAATATTATTTCATTTCAGCTGCTTGAGGAGAACATTGTTGCTTTTGCGAAAAATGAGCTTAAGAAGTTCAAGAAGATTCTGAGTCCAGATTCCAAAGAGTGCTTCGAGAGCAAAGGTGAAGACGAGGAGGAGGTTAACGGAGAAGTGGAAGAGCAGAGGAGGAGCAGCAGAGAGGCATTTTTAAAGATCACACTGCACTTCCTGAGGAGAATGAAGCAGGAGAAGCTGGCTGACTCTCTTCAGAACAGTAAGAGGCTTATAATAAATGTTTAATGTTGGGAAAGTTGTGGAATGCTCAAAAACACATGTGTGCAACATTCCATGTATAAACCGGTTAACACATACACACACATGAAGACACATATAACACGCACACCCCCTCCAACTCAACGCCTTATTGGCTCCCTCCCCCCCTCCCTCCCTTCATCGCAATGTAGCATGGGAGGGTGATGCGATGCTCCCAAATGTGGCTGCGTGCGCGCCCCCCAGTGTCTGTGCTGCGACACCTCCCCTCCCCAACACCCCAAGTCTTCGAGTTTTGTTGTAATGTCTTATTATGTTGCTTATGTGCTGAGGTGTTTTTTTTTTCCTATCCCCACACTGTGCCCCCCTACAGGAGCCTAGTTTGGGAATTGCTTTTTTTTCCCTCTTCCTCCCTCTTGTTCTCCTTTTTTCATCTAAGTAAACGGGGCGCTGCTCGTGTGGCGACCCACAGGTCTCCCGCTCCTGTCCTCCCCTGTTCTGTTATGTGGGGGTGGGAGGGGCGGGTTTTCAATATTTCTAGTATATTTTTTTGTTTTGTATGTTTTTAGTTTGTAAAGCACTTTGGGGTTGCATTTTTGATGTATGAAAGGCGCTATATAAATAAAGTTTGATTGATTGATTGATTGATTGAACTGGTAACAGGTAATAGTAGCAATGTAGCAATTTTTTTACCCAGGTAAATAAATTCCTGGTAATAAAAGTTCCTGGAAATGTTGGTGAAAAAGGGGCTAATGTCGTCGGACGGTAATGTCAAGCAGCCACAGGCAAACATGAACCAAGGATGTGGAAGCAAGCCTCATGGTCAGGGATAGGAGGCTGGAGTGTTTATGTATTGAGCAGGTCAGAGGCAGGCAGGGTCGACAATGAGAAATCAGTTGGGAATGAAGTGCTGGAGAGTCTTGCATGATTGATGAACAAAAATCTGGCAATGAGTGTCTGAGAGGCCAAAGTATATGTACTTATTGTAAGTAATGGGGAACAGGTGAACTTAGCTGCCTTGATGTTGTGCATGTGACTAGTTCTCAGGTGGGAAACTAGAGTGAAGCGAAAATTACTGACTGGGAGCTGGGTGACTGGGCACGCTGAAAAGAACAGGCGACTGCAAAACTGTGACAGAAAGCCATATATCAACAACAGCCACTCTAAGCCTGAGCTCATGTCACACAGTGGTAAACTTGCCCCCGTCCCAAACTTTTGGGAGCATGTTGCAGGCATCTAATTCAGAATGAGTGTGTCTTTTATAAAAAACAATAACATTTATCAGTTTGCACATTAAATATCTTATCTTTGTACTGTATTCAATTGAATATAGGTTGAAATGGATTTGCAGATCATTGCATCATATTTTTATTTAGGTTTATACAGTGTCCCAACTTTTTCAGGATTGAGGTTGTAGGAAATATGTTTGTATCTCAGTTGGCAAAATCTTTTTAACCACACAGGTGAGGGAGGTGTCGGTGGAGGCCAACAGTCCTCTCCAGCTTCAAATCTCACTGGAGCACCATATTGACATCATTGTATCAGAATCATTAAATAGACAGTCTAATGTAGACAGTCCTGTACAGTCTAATGTAATCTAATACAGTATTTCTCATTCTTTATTTTAGAATTGTTTGCTGCAGTTTGCCAGCGTAAACTTAAATCTAACCTACAGAAGAAGTTCCAGTGTGTGTTTGAGGGGATCGCTAAAGCAGGAAACCCAACCCTTCTGAATCAGATCTACACAGAGCTCTACATCACAGAGGGAGGGACTGCAGAGGTCAATGATGAACATGAGGTCAGACAGATTGATACAGCATCCAGGAAACCATACAGACCAGAAACAACCATCAGTTTTGAAGACATCTTTAAAGCCTCACCTGGAAGAGATGAACCAATCAGAACAGTGATGACAAATGGAGTGGCTGGCATTGGGAAAACAGTCTTAACACAGAAGTTCACTCTGGACTGGGCTGAAGACAAAGCCAACCAGGACATACAGTTCACATTTCCACTCACTTTCAGAGAGCTGAATGTGCTGATAGAGAAAAAGTACAGCTTGGTGGAACTTGTTCATCACTTCTTTTCTGAAACCAAGGAAGCAGGAATCTGCAGGTTTGAAGAGTTCCAGGTTGTGTTCATCTTTGACGGTCTGGATGAGTGTCGACTTCCTCTGGACTTCCACAACAATGAGATCCTGACTGATGTTACAGAGTCCACCTCAGTGGATGTTCTGCTGACAAACCTCATCAGGGGGAAACTGCTTCCCTCTGCTCGCCTCTGGATCACCACACGGCCTGCAGCAGCCAATCAGATCCCTCCTGACTGTGTTGACATGGTGACAGAGGTCAGAGGGTTCACTGACCCACAGAAGGAGGAGTACTTCAGGAAGAGATTCAGAGATGAGGAGCAGGCCAGCAGAATCATCTCCCACATCAAGACATCACGAAGCCTCCACATCATGTGCCACATCCCAGTCTTCTGCTGGATCACTGCTACAGTTCTGGAGGATGTGATGAAGACCAGAGAGGAAGGAGAGCTGCCCAAGACCCTGACTGAGATGTACATCCACTTCCTGGTGGTTCAGACCAAAGTGAAGAACATCAAGTATGATGGAGGAGCTGAGACAGATCATCACTGGAGTCCAGAGAGCAGGAAGATGATTGAGTCTCTGGGAAAACTGGCTTTTGATCAGCTGCAGAAAGGGAACCTGATCTTCTATGAATCAGACCTGATAGAGTGTTTCATTTATATTAGAGCAGCCTCATTGTACTCAGGAGTGTTCACACAGATCTTTAAAGAGGAGAGAGGACTGTACCAGGACAAGGTGTTCTGCTTCGTCCATCTGAGTGTTCAGGAGTTTCTGGCTGCTCTTCGTGTCCATCTGACCTTCATCAACTCTGGAGTCAACCTGATGGCAGAAGAACAAACAACTTCCTTGTGGTCTAAATTGTTCAGAGGCAGACCTGAACATTTCTACCAGAGGGCTGTGGACAAGGCCTTAGAGAGTCCAAATGGACACCTGGACCTGTTCCTCCGCTTCCTCCTGGGTCTTTCACTGCCAACCAATCAGTCTCTTCTACAAGGTCTGGTGACACAGACAGGAAGCAGTTCACAATCCAATCAGGAAACAGTCCAGTTCATCAAGAAGAAGATCAGTGAGAATCTGTCTCCAGAGAAAAGCATCAGTCTGTTCCACTGTCTTAATGAACTGAAGAATGGTTGTCTAGTGGAGGAGATCCAACGGTGGCTGAGTTCAGAACGTCTGTCCCCATATGAATACACTCCTTGTCATTGGTCAGCTCTGTGCTTCATGTTGCTGTCATCAGAGGAAGATCTGGAGGTTTTTGACTTCAAGAAATATTCAACTTCAGAGGAGGCTCTTGTGAGGCTGCTGCCAGTGGTCAAAGTCTCCACCAAGGCTCTGTAGGTTAAAAAACAACTACATAAATTACATTTATTAAAACTGAAGAAATATCCTATAGTTTTTTTTTGTTGTTAATTCTCATTCAGGCTAAGTTGCTGCAATCTGTCAGAGAGAAGCTGTGAAGCTCTGTCTTCAGTTCTGAGCTCTCCGTCCTCCAGTCTGAGGGAGCTGGACCTGAGTAACAACGACCTGCAGGACTCAGGAGTGAAGCTGCTCTGTGTTGGACTGGAGAGTCCAAATTGTAGACTGGAAGTTCTCAGGTCAGGATTCATCAGTTTGTTCAATAGATGACCATTGTGTTCACAGCTAACATGGTTTAAACATATTACATATTTCCAGACAAAAACTTTAACTTTGATATTAAAATATGTACTGTACACAAAAGAGTCTTGAGAAGAGTCATGTAGGGAACACCATCTGTAGTTAAAGAAGTGTTGGAGGTTTAAAGTGGACCAGGGAGAAGCGGTGGGTATGCACCACAGTGCACAACAGTTAACAAGTGGGAAAATACTGCTCCATGATTAATTGGAGAGGAGCCAGTCGAATTGTGGTTTGTACTCACTTTAGACTTAGACCCTTGTTTTGCCTCCATGCTGGCAATGTCCATCCATCCGTCTGTCCATCTCTTTCTCGTGAGTGTGATATCTCAAGAACGCCTCAATGAAATTTCTTTAAATTTGGCACAAACATCCACTTGGACTGAGGGATGAACTGATCAGATTTTGGTGGTCAAAGCTCAGTTGACGCAACATCATATCTTAGAAACAGAAGGGGAGACATTTGTTCAGATACTGAATTGGTGACTCTAATCTTGGGTGTTCACCACTGTGCTGGTTGTCTAGATCATCTGTGCTGCGTATGTGAAGCATCCATGTTTTAGAATTTGTAGTTTCTTTGCAACAGCATCCATATTTGAAGCATTGTCTGCTGTCACGGCTACATGTGAGTCTAGACAGAAATTGATGTAAACAGCAACTTGACTGGTTTGTGGAGGCATATACCATGATTCAAGTTTTTCATAAAACTCCTTTTTATAAAGACTAATTGCAAAATCAGTTTCCATAAAAGGCAGGAGCAAGTAAAATACTCCTAAGTGTGTGTGTGTGTTTAGGTTGTCAGGCTGTCTGATCACAAAGAAAGGATGTGCTTCTCTGGTGTCTGCTCTGAGATCCAACCCATCTCATCTGAGAGAGCTGGACCTGAGCTACAATAATCCAGGAGACTCAGGAGTGAAGCTGCTTTCTGATGCAAAGGATGATCCTAGCTGGAGACTGGAAACTCTGAGGTAAGGACAGACCAGGGTTCAGGTTGAGTTTGTTTGAGTCGGGAGGTCAAAATATGCAAATACAAGTTGTTAAGGAAGTCACTGAAGTTGTGAGGTTCTGATCTGACCTGTTTTTGCACCAGGATGGAGCACGGTGGATCACAATCAATGAAATCTGGTCTGAAGAAGTGTAAGTGTGTGTTTTTCTTTTTTTAAATAATGACAGCAGGTATTACACAATACATTTTAACTGACAATATGTTCAGGCCAGAGGTAGCCAACCACTTACCTTGTCTGCATTCTTTGAGTTTGCCTGTAACTGCTACCTTTTGATGTCAGAGGATGTCAACAGCTTTAGACCTGTACCCCTCTTTTCTTTATTTCTGAGACATTTCAAGCCATTTGTCAATACGTGTCTGCATACTTCCTTGAGAACAACCTTCTAGATCCCCACCAGTCTGGCCACTCTGCCCAGACAGCCCTCCTTGCAGTGACAAAGGCACTGCATACTGCAAGAATGAACTCCTCTCTTCTCTCCTCACACCTGTGGACCTCTGGTGAAGAAAGACACATTGCTTTCTTCTCAATGAAGAGGCAGCCAAAGCACTCAAAGAGGCACATGTTGTCTCCTGCCTGTATTACTTCAGCTACCTCCTTGTCAGAGCCCCTGTGTCTGCCAGCAGACTTCTTAAACTAGTCTAAAATACTGCTGCCTATCTGGTTTTTGTCTTCCCAAGTATTCCCACACTGCTTAGCCCTCCATTCACCACACTGATTCCATGTTGCAACTGGCATGTAGTGTAAGACTCTGGCCCTAGTGTCTATGGCAGTGAAGGTAGCTGTTCCTTTCTACCTTTTAGCCATGGTCAAACTTCACTCCACCATCAAAAAGTCTAACCAAAGTTGGTGTTTTGTCACATTGTATACATTTGATCTCTACATCTCCCAACCTCACGAATCCTCTGTCTCATCCTCTTGGAAAATCATTTCAAGACGAAAGGACCGCCTGTCAGAACTGCCTGTATTTGAGCCATCCAAAAAATGTTTAACACAAGAAACGAACTAGACCATGGGTCAGCTTGTTCTGCCGAGGCCACCTCTTTCATCAGATAAAAGTTCGGTGGCTAAGTCCAGGCTGTGGTCTGTGGGAAGTTTCATGCCTGTCATTTTGATTCAGATCAAGATAAAAAGTTCAAAAGTCTGGACCAAACAAAGAAGATGTGAAACCCCAAGTGTCTTTAGCTATGCTAGCAGCTCTGTGAGGCTGCACAGCAGTGCTTTGAGCTAAATGCTAACATCACCATGCTAATATGCTGTGTGACAGTGACAGCGCTAATCCTAATGTCTTCTTCTCTCCATCAGATGCCCGTAAACTCACGCTGGACCCAAACACAGCAAACAGAAAACTCACACTGTCCGACAACAACAGGAAGGTGACAGTGGGGAAAGAGACACAGTCGTATCCTGATGATCCAGAGAGATTTGACTACTGGAAACAGGTGCTGTGTACCAGAGGTCTGAATGGTCGCTGTTACTGGGAGGTCGAGTGGAAAGGACATGTTTACATAGCAGTGGCTTACAAAGGAATAAAAAGGAGAGGAAACAGTGAAGACTGCTGTCTGGGAATGAATGATCAGTCCTGGAGTCTGAGCTGCTCCGATAGTGCTTACTCTATCCTGCACAGTAACAGGCAAGTGTCCATCCCTGTGCCTCCCACAAAGAAAGTGGGAGTGTACCTGGACTGGGATGCTGGCACTTTGTCCTTCTACGGAGTCTCCACTGATAAACTGACCCACATCTACACCTTGTACACCACATTCACTGAGCCGGTCTACCCTGCCTTCAGGGTCAGGATGGACTCGTCAAACTCGTCAATGTCTTTGTGTTAGATCCAGTAAAACATCACCTCCTTTTCTCTATCTGAGTGAGTTTTGGATTATGATAAATCTTGAGAGAGATGAGGTCGAATACGTCAATGGTGACAAAGACTAAAAAACAGTGATAATCTGCTAACTGCTAACACCTGCAATCAATATGTGCTCTATTTAAAGGTCCAATGCGTAAAAATTAGTGGTATCTAGCTGTGAGGTTGCAGAACTAAAACCTCTCCCATGTGCCATGTGTGTAGGGGAGAGTTTTTTCGCCCAACAGGAAGTCAGCCATCTTGGATTGGACATATTTGTAATTGGTTATAATTAGCTCCACCCACCCAGCTGTTGGACATTTTTAATCATTAATAATTTAATGTAATGTGCATTTAAGTTTAAGCAAACTTGATAGAACTCGGTTCTCAGATTCGTTTCAGATTAGGGGGGTGTAACCCTCCAACTTATCTTAGACTTAATTGCGAAGGAAAAGTCAATAGCTCCAACGATGATGTCAAAGGTAATGTGAGAACACGCCATTGCCAGCACTGTACAGGTGTGGAACCTAATGAATCCTAGAGGATTTAACACATCCATCTCAATGTTTGGCTGCAGAATCTGAAGACCTTCAAAATGCCAAATTGCAAAGTGTTTGTGTTTTTGAGGAATTGCTTTGCTATGGAAGCTAAGCTAATTTCTATGTTTCAACATGACACAGGAAGCTGTTGTAATGTGACTTTGCATAATCCATTCTGCCCCAGATTTCACATGCTAGATAAGAGTCTAGGTCTGAAGACATCTCCATGACAATATTAATTTATCATCATAGCGCCATCCACTGACAACAGGAAGTCAGCCTCACGTAGAAAAAATCATCAGAGTTACATTAAGTCTGTATGGTGTGGTATACATATGATATACAGCAACATGACATATCATTGGTGTGTGCTCTATAGCGCCACATAGTGGATACAGGAAGTGGCCCAAAATTTGCAGTAGGTCATTTCCACATACTCCAAGCAAGAGGTACCATTTAACTCCTGCGTGCAGTGTCTGACTTTCACTGAAATGCATGGACGTGTAGACCAGCATTATACCTATACCGCCAACGTACATGGAGTACAAGGGTCTGTTCACTGCTGCTTGTAGCTTTGATTATGTTTTCTCTCTCTGACTAGTTTGTGGCTGCTGTGAATTTTTTTACTTGCATACATTTTTTTGTCTGTAATAAGAGCCTTCGTTGCAGTGGATGCTGATTTAAGAAGCTCTAGATTTTGTAGGACATTTGTTGTGTTCCAGGTTAGACAATGGATCCTCTAAATCCCCCAAACTGAACCCATCGTAATGGGCTTCGAAAACCAATCCAAAAAAAATCTTTTTGTCCCAGTTTGGATGACAAAAACAGGGTCTCTTATATATATATTATATAGGTGTTTACATTGCAGCCTGTATTGTGGCTGCAGCACTCTAGCACTGTTAGACCAATTTTAATTTTTTATTTCTTTATTTCTTTATTTAACAGGGACAATGCACAGATACTTTGCTGCAAGTTAGCTATAAGCTAACTAGCTGTAGACCCTGGGCAGGAAACAGAGAACAATTTTCGCTGCTAAAGGACACTATTATATAAAGAACACAACTACAAAATAGAACGTATTCATGACACAGCGGCAACATCAAGTCATCGCAGCAACAACAGTAACAACAATACAACTACAACATTGAGATGAAACCCCTCGATGTCCTCCCATTGTCCAGGTGCATTTTTATTAACTCTTTTAATGGAGGAGCAGCCAGATCATTAATCAATTTGTACACTAGACTAGCATCAGCAAGGCACACAAAGCTGTCAGTAGATCAGTAGATTATGCTTTTGTTATTATTGTCTCCATTAGTTACTTGGACACTGAAAACATGGGGAAATAGGGTCCAGGTTGAAAAATACTGTAGTTACCCTTTAAGTTTCATGTGAGTATTTTCTGTTCTCTATTTTATTTAACTTGTATTCTTGTAATAAATATACCGACACAATAGATCACCATGTATTCATGTAACGTCATCAGATTTTTTGCAAAAACATAAACAAATAAAGAGAAATATTTAGAAAAAGTGTGATGATTATTTCAGCGGAGTATCTTTAATGTGAGAGGTGACAAATTTGCAGATTTCATTTGATCTGAAAACAAACGCATAAAATGAAATACAAACTTCAGACATTAACAATAGCTCAGACACATGTCCCTTTAAAGTTTCTATACTTAAAGCATGAAGATTTGATAATGAAGATGATAAAAGGATTCATAACCACACATATGGTCTCTACAGCTCTACACAGCTACGATGCTACAAGCATTCCTCCTGTGGTCCATTCAGCTCAGCTCCTGTTTGATCCTCACATTATGGCTGATTTCATGAACTGAAACGAGAAACACACAATGAACTGGTAACTGGTGTGGTGGCAAAATCACTATTCAATAAACAGTTCAAAGAAAAGTCTTCACATGTCGGCTGTCTTTCTTGAGTTTTATTAAACATTCGCAAATGGATTCACACACATAGTTCAAACCGCATGAACAGTCAATCCGTGAGTGAGCAGCGATGACCTCCAGCCATGCTAGCTTTATAGTTTCCCCTAACACATGCAATCATTAGCCAAAACATGTGACGCCTTCAGTAGCCCCGGAAGATATATGGCGCCTGCAGTAGCACAGGTTGGTTTGACATCCCTAAGATGCAACATCTCCTGGGAACAACAAGGACACCTTGTTGTTGGAGTGTTAACGAACAGGTGTTTAAGGAGCAGGGGAGTGGGACTTGGAGTTGCTCCCTTTTTGCAGTTGAAAAGTTCATATGGAGTTTTAAGAAGCTGCTTTTTGCTGTCATGTCTGTAAGTGCCAAACCTTTCTATTAATAGTTGTTGTTTTAATATTTCATATTTTCCTTTGTTGCCAGATGTTCAAGTGCTCATTATGTCAATTTTAAGCGCTGTATCGTAGGCAACTGGACTGGCTCGAGTTTCTTGACGTTTCACCTCTCATCCAAGAGGCTTCTTCAGTTCTAACGGACTGGTGCGGAGTCGTCAGGCTTTGAACTCTGCGTGGGTGTGAACCCTCACTGAGTCATTTAAATCGCATGTGAGCTCTGAGTTTCAGAGCACAGGTGAGTTGTTGGTCCACCTGGCCATCATTTGTGTCGTTAAGGTTAGACGGGTCCAGGTGTGAGTGGGTGTTAAGCCGCCTGGGGAGGGATCTCAAGACTGCATTGTGCAAACTTATGGCACAGCACAGGAGAGACTCAGCTGTCCAGTTACATCTAAAGGAGAAGGGACATTCCTCTGAGGACAGCAATGTCCACATCTTGGCCAGAGAAGACAGATGGGTTGAAAGAGGTGTGAAAGAAGCCATCTACCTCAAACTGGAACGACCATTGTTAAACAGAGGAGCTGGCCTTCGACACCACTTATCACCCACCTACAATGCAGTCTTGAGATCCCTCCCCAGACAACTTAACACTCACACCTGGACCCATCTAACCCTAAGGACACACATGATAGCAGGGTGGATCAACGACTCACATGTGACCTTGACGACTCTGTGACTGCTTCTTGGATGAGAAGCGAAACGTCTTCAAGAAACACAAGCAAGTCCAGTTGCCTACGATATAGCACTGACTGGGAGTCTTTACCAGTAAGATGTCAATTAATTTAACACTTTGTGTTGAAATGGAGAATTCCTTATTATCAGGGACTATTAACTTTAGGCTGAATATGCTCTGCTCATACCTTTTTTAATCTTATCCTTTATAGACACTAACCAGCTGGTGGAGTGTGTTGTGTGTCAATAACTATTTCTTTTAGTACAGTGATCCTCCTGTACTTGAAATCTTTATCTTTGTAGAGTCACAAACAGGTAAATAAAGAACATTTGGGCCGTTGCTACATTAAGTACTGTTGATTTGACAGCATTAATGAAAACATTTAAACTCACCTGCTTGAAAGAGAAACTGGCCACTATGCAGTCACACGGCAAACGCATCATATGAGCCTGGAAACGATCTGAGACAGGAAGCAGATATCAAGAGATATTAATATCCTGAATTTTATCCAGATATGTTCAGTACTTTAAAGACATCTGGATGTGTGCACAGTACAATGATTAACAAAAAGAGTCTCCTCGTGTTAGTGTTCATAAAGTCTGTGGAATTCAATCATGTTTGATAAAGAAAAAAAATCGTGTCACTAACAGACTGAGACCTTCTTGAAGAGGTGGTCTCAGTCCGGTTCCAAAGGAACTCTGGTGCGGTTGGTTTGTGGTGAGAAGGTGTTCCGACCTGGATGTGAAGCAACTGCAGTCACATGACACATTGTTTGGGTTAAACATGAGCATGTTACAGTCCTGGAGGATTATTAATGTGCACCTCCTCCTGTACTGCCTTAATATGCACATTCAGCACATCCAATGCATCAAAACATTGTTTTCTAGTTGGAGCCGCGCCTCGTTTTCAAACTGTATGGTTTGACTAAAATGAACAATGACAGCAATATAGTCCACGATGAGCAGCGCTAAAATCAACCTGCGTAGTTGTCCCTCCATTGTGACATTAGAAAGTGTCACATTTATCTTGCAAGTGTACTCTTCTTCAACGTTTGCTTTACTTCCTGGATTTTTCCCACATGGAAATTCTGACCAATCAAGAGCAGCTTTCTCACACAAGGCATTTGATCTGGTCCTCTTGTAAATGCTGCCGTGAGAACACGAACCAACTCAAACAAAATTAGTCCCAGATTGGGACCAAAGCGAACCAACTCTAGGTCTGAAAGCCCCCTTAAAGGTCCAGTTTGTAGAATTTAGTGGCATCTAGCGGTGAGGTTGCAGAAGTGAAACTTCTCGCGTGTTGCAAGCATGCAGGAGAACTACAGTGGCTGATGCAACAAAGCCAAAAAAACAAAAAAAAAAAACAACACACCAATGGCCCTATCTCAGCTGGCCCCAAGAGCCAGTGTTTCATTTGTCCATTCTGTGCTCCTGTAGAAACAATATGGTGGACTCCATGGAAGAGGACTGGCTCTGTACGTGGATACAAATGGCTCATTTTAAGGTAACAAAAACGGGACTCTTATTTTCAGGTGATTACAGCCAAAAGACAAAAGAAAACAGTTGTGAATATCATATACCATCAGCTATTAGCTGAATCAATGCTCCTCTGAATCCTTCACACCGGACCTTTAAGTAAAACTAGAAAAATCAGTGTTGAAATAATCTGAAGAAGTCATGCATTTAAAATTTTACTTAAGTAAAAGTACAAAGCATCAAAATATATTTGAAGTAAATGGGTCTATGTGCATTATAACCCATTTCAGAATAATGTTTATCATAATATGGGATTATACCCTCACCCTCATGGCTCATCATTCAAATTCCTCAATAAACTTCAATACATCCAGAACTCCGCTGCCCACCTGCTCACCCACACCCGCTCCTGAGACCACATCACCCCCATCCTCCAAAACCTACACTGGCTCCCCATCACACATCGCATACAGTTCAAAATCCTCCTCCTCACACACAAAGCACTCTCCTGCCAGGCCCCTCCTACCTCACACACCTACTCCACCACCACACCCCCTCCTGCGACCTCCGCTCATTCGAAGGAAATCTCCTCTCACTACCTGCACAGATAAAGCACCGAACCTGGGTGGACAGGGCCTTCTCCATCGCTGCCCCCTCCCTCTGGAACTCACTCCCCAAACCCATCCATATCTGCACACACCTCCCAACATTCAAGACCATGCTCAAAAGTCACCTTTTTAAATCAGGTTTTAATGTATAAGTTTGTGTGTTTTATACTGTTTTATTGCTGTTTTTTATTCTGACTTAGCTCTACTTTATGATTTTTAAAAAACTGTTAAGTGTTTTTGAGCATTTGTTAAAAGCGCCTACAAATAAAATGTATTATTATAATTATTATAATAATTATTGGTGTATCAATGTGGACACCACGTACTATGTTACAGCTGGTGCATGTGGGGCTACATTTAAATAATTGATAAACATCTTGTATATTTATTACTTTATATACTGCAGGGTAGCTTGTGAGTTTCCCCACAGATCAGTACATTCTTATTGATAAAACAGTATCATTACTTATCTGTTGATTATATTTTGTATCATGAATCTGTATCTGCAAAGTAACTAAACTCATCAAATAAATGTAGTGCTGTAAAAGGTACAACATGTCCCTCTGAGAAATAAAAGTAAGTAGCAGAAAATGGAAATACTCAAGTACAAGTACCTCAAAATGACAGAACAGTACTTGAGTAAATAACCTTTGTTCATTCACTACTGATAGTATGTAGTGTGGAGCTGGACACACTTAAATTTGGTTTCCGTTACCTCTGAGGATCTGAAGTTTTGTCATGAAGGCCACAAAGTCATCGTAGTCGATGCCACCTTCGGAGTGGTGATCACGCCACAGAACATTGAAGGTTTCATCTTCTAACTCAAACTCTGTCAGATAGAAATGATAACGGTTTGAAGCGATCCACAGATACTACTGGACTGACTCAGTTATTGTTTTGTTAAGATGTGGAGAGGCTTTTAGGGTGATTTAGAGGTATTATGTATTATTACCTCGGGCAGACAGAGCCCTTTTCATTTGGTATTGAGTGACGGAGGGTGGGGTCCGCTTCTCGTAGCTCTCCAGATACTCCCTCCTGGTAGCAGCCACGTAGTGCTCCAGATTGAAGAGCTCCACCACATTCAGGTCGCCAGTCTTATCTGCCTGAGAGTGCTGGTTAAGGCGAGATTTTGGGCTATTGTGCTTCTGTAATATCTTCTTTCAGACAGGTTTATTTTAGTTTCTGCTCTTGAAATTTATTCAAAAAGCACTACTTTAATTAGATAATGCTTCTTTTCATATTTGAAAATAAAATTTCAGAAAACTTGTAATACAAAAATTAATGTCTTAATGGAGGTAATCCAGTTTTATGGTGATATCTGTAGAGACAGAGAGCATTTAAGTCCGGCCCCCACAAACAAAAAATATCCAAAATTCTCTCTCCAAAAACATTTGACTCTGATATGACAACAAAGTGAAACAAGGATTTTGAACCTGGCTTTATCCTGTGCAAATCAGTGCATATTCAACTAGACAATGCCTCATTTGCAAATTTAAACATGTAAAATTTCAGAAAATTTCTAAAGTAAATGAATTGTTGTACTGTAAGTATAGTTTAAATAAATAAAATAAATAAAAACGTATATCTCTTTATAACATCTTATTGCATGATGGCTAGAGCTGAATGAAGAGTCAGTGATCACATATTCCATCCAGGGCATTCAGATTGAGTTTACCTTCTGTTGAGACACTTAAGCACTGCAGTGATGGAGCCTTCTCCCAGACCTTTGTCACAAATAAATATGGCGGTAAATATTAAGCAGATTAACAGATCAGTAAAGGATACGTCCATGAGAGTCAACAGCAGGTGGGCTGTCTTCAGACTTAAGGCTACATGGGAGAGAATAAAGACAACCATGAGAGTTTGTCTAATTCAGATGATTAGATAGTGTCGTTAAGATTGGTGGAAAATAAACTGACTTTTGCCGTGAACAGAGTAGCCACCAGCATTCAGCTTAGCAAGAACACCTTCAGCAGTCAACATCTGTTGGAAACAAGGACAGACAGATGAACAAAGGTCTGCTTCACACAACATGCAATACCTTTATCTAACCTTGGGGTGAAATACAGTGAGTACAGTAAATGTGGCTTTATTGCACAAAATGACCCTAAATGTTGGCAGGGATTTATTTCCTAAAATATTGTACATGCTCCAAAACTAAATTCCAGCTGCTGGTGGAGTCTTTGGTGGTCCAAAAAAAAAAACCATGATGGCGACGAAAACTTGGCCTGAAGGCTACCTGTACACCTCTGTGCACCAAATCTAAAATATAAATGTCATATTGTGAGTAATAGAATTAACATAATTGTTTTGGAAACACTTACATCAGGCCTGCTGTCTTCCTGTGAAAGAAAAGAAAGAAGTCATGTAAAGCTCCATAAACACAGAGGAATCTAATGGAAAACATTCAGATTCACTTCTATTATCAAACTGCACTCTTCTTTATATATCGACAAGGTTTCCATTACTTACTGATATACACGCTTCCTCTGGGAATGAGTTGCACTGCAGCTCTTCTGGCCAGGAAACACCAAAGCTGGTCATCAAACCCTCACAGCCCTGTTTGGCCCTCTCACAGAAAGACCTGCAGGGCCGCTTCACCTCCCCTGCCACACACGCGGGGGCGTACACCATACACACAAACAGCCGTATGTCCACTGAGCACATAGTCTGCACCATCGAGTTGAAAAAGGACATCTTCATCACCGCCTCTCTCTGACTCGTGTGACCCAGTAGATTTGGAGTGATGGTCTGGTTGTAGGACAGGCCCTGGCACATTGGTATGGTGATCGGCTCGCAGACGCCCCCGCTGCTGCCCACTCCATACTGGAACGAGACACAAGTGCACACGGTTACTCCAAGTCTGATTACCTTTGGCCAGACATTTGTGGCCTTTGTTTATACACCTCCGCACCTGCGATAGCTGTGGCCGGAGACATTGCTGTTTTCGGGTTGTCCGTTCATACTATGTATGTAAGTATATTTCAGGAACGCTTTGAGGGAATTTTTTCAAATTTGGCACAAACATTCACTTATATTCAGTGATGAACTGAGCAGATTTTGTTGGTCAGAGGTCAAGATCACTGTGACCTTGCATCTATCTCATTCTCATGAGGGCAATATCTACAGAAGGTCTCTGGGAAATTTCTTCAAGACAAGGCCCGTTTCCACCGAAGAAGTTCCTGGTACTATTTGGGGGGCAGGAACTTCTACAGGAACGTCCTCTCGCTCAGCCCTCTCAACCGCCGTGTCTCCACTGAGAGAGCGGAGTAGGAGGAAGGTTTCTGTAAAGTTACGGGCTCTGGATGTGACGTAATCGTTGCACGACCATTTACCGGGGCGACGTAGGGACGCCGTTAGCTGATAGCCCTTAGCGGTGTCTGTAATAACTCACTAAATGGCCCGTGGAAAAAAAAAAAATTCCAGCGGATGTCTTAGTTACAACATGATTGAGCTAACGTCAACTGGAGTAGTTTCATGTCGTATCCGACAACGGGAGGCTTTTAACAGATGACGTCCTGATGTTAGCCTGCTGTTAGCTGTCCCTGTCAGCGGCAGCCAGTGATGCTTTCTAGAAATCGTGATTTCCCAAAACTGAATAAATACCACACATAGCAACACAAAACTGCTTTGCTAGCTCAGTCATGTTGTAACTAAGATATCCGCTGGAAAGAATATTTTTTTCACGGGCCATTTAGTGAGGTTTTTTTACATGGCGGAGGAAGCTATATGAACGAGCTAATCCTCGTCTGCTGAGTTTTAAAAATGCCGGCTATTTTGTTGCTTTCTGTTGACATCATATCCCTCCTTGAGTATATCCAGTCAGCACCAAGTAATCCCCAAGCCCCAGCCAGGAGTCTTTCGGGCCGTTCTGAGTACCTACTCCGAGGCAGGGACTTGTTTAGCCCCCGTAAAAGTTCCAGAACTCTGTCCGTCGGGGGTGGTTCCTGCAGTGGAGACACGCACCAACGGCCCTGGCCCCGTAAAAAATAACCCCTAAGTTCCTGCGGTGGAAACGGGCCTATAGATATATAGATAGATAACTTAACTTTAACTTTAGAATAACTATTGTTCACCTCGTCCACTTGAACTCAACAATGAACTGATTAGATTTTGGTGGTCATAGTTCAAAGGTCAAGGTCACTATGACCTCGAATCTCTCATTCTTGTGAACATGATACCTCAACAACACCTTGAGGGAATTTTTTCAAATCTGGCACAAACATTCACTTGTACTCAGTGATTAAATGATTAGATTTTGGTGGTCAAAGGTCAAGATCACTGTGACCTTGCATCTATCTCATTCTCATGAGGGCAACGTCTACAGAAGATCTTTGGGAAATTTCTTCAAGATAGATATATAGATAGAGAACATTATTGTTCACCTCAGTGGATTTGGCACAAACGTCCACTTGAACTAAATAATAAACTGATTAGATTTTGGTGGTCATAGTTCAAAGGTCAAGGTCACTATGACCTCGACTCTCTCATTCTTGTGAACATGATACCTCAACAACACCTTGAGGGATTTTTTTCAAATCTGGCACAAACATTCACTTATACTCAGTGATGAACTGATTAGATTTTGGTGGTCAAAGGTCAAGGTAATTGTTACCTTGCATCAATCTCATTCTTGTGAATGCAATATCTCTGAAAGGTCTTGACGGGAATTTCTTCAAGATAGATAACTCTGTTGTCCACCTCAGTGGATTTGGCACTAACATCCTCTTAGACACAATGATGAATTGATTAGATTTTAGTGGTCAGAGGTCAAGGTCACTGTGACCTTGCATCCACCTCATTCTCTCAAATGCAATATCTCGAAGTCTTTTAGGGAATATTCTCAATGTTGGCATTAACATCCATTTGTACTCAAGAATGAACTGATCAGAATTTAGTGGTTGACGGTCAAAGGTCAAGGTCACTGTGACCTCACAAAACATGTTTTTGTCCATAACCCAAGAATGTCTCTTTTCTTGAAACTGTGGTGAATGCATAGATCTTCTGTGCTGCTTGGGGTAAAACCAGCAAAATCTGACTCATGTACGAAGGCGTACAACTGCGAGATGGTAACTAGAGTTTTATTTTTGCTGTGGTGCTACCTTTGGCAAAATGCAGCTTGTACAGCGTGGCTTGTATCAGACAAGAGTTTACAGTAACTATTTCTGTAGTGCCTTTCGAAATTTCACAAGGTGTTTGACAAGTGCACATGATAAAAACAACACAATGAGAAACTATTACACAGGATTGGCCACGCTTAAATAAATAAAAAGAGCAGACTTACGTGTTCACAGGACTCTGCGGTAAATGTGTCACACTTGAGGGCTTCTGGCCACGGGAAGCCAAACCTTTGTAACACTGGCTCACAGCTGGAGCGTGCATGCTCGCAGAGTGATTTGCAGGGAGGTCGAGGTGTTCCTGACACACACTCAGGAGTGTAGACGGAGCACAGTAAAGTCTTCATATGAGGGGAGCACCCCACTTGTATGAGCGGTATAAATGTCTGCACTACCAGGGCTGCATCCTCCTGAGTTGTGTGGCCCAGCATGTTGGGCATGACAGTCTGAGTGTACGGCAGGTCTTGGCAGAGAGGGACAGTGATTGTCTGACATGCCGCAGAGGATATTTGAGTCATGTCTTCAGTCTGGAAGAACAGAAATATAAACCAGTGAATTCTGAATACTTTTGGCTGGTGTGGTTTCCATCACTCGTGCACCAAACCCAAAGTGCCTTTTAAAAAGTGACTTTATTCAACAATGATTTATCCGTGGTAAACTTATTTCATTTGAGTTATTTTGCCTGGTATAATGTCACACAAGAGGCCATGCAAGCAGCTCAAAGGAATACTTACCTGTGGTAGAGAACAGGGGGACAATTGTGAATTTTTAAAAATACTTTCAATGCAAAAGTTGATGCATGTGCTTTAGATTAATTAAACACAGAGCATGTATTTAATTAGATCACCTGACAGCCCAGTCAAAGACATAAACATCTATTCATCTTCATTTTAAGGTCAAGAAAGAGCAGACTTACGCCTTCACAGGACTCTGTCGTAAATGCTTCACACCTGATGGATTCTGGCCACTGGAAGCCAAACTTGTTCATCAGTGATTCACAGCTGGACCTCGCCTGCTCGCAGAGCGTTCTGCAGGGAGATCGAGCTTTGCCTGAAACACACTTGGGAGTGTAGACGGAGCACAAGAAAGTCTTCAGGTGACGGGAGCATTCCACTTTTACAAGCGGGAAAAACTGATGTACTTCCAGTCCTGCTTCCTCCTGATTTCTGTGGCCCAGCATGTTGGGCATGATGGTGTCAGAGTACGTCAGGTCTTGGCAGAGAGGGACAGTGATTGGCTGACATACTCCAGCGGGCGTTGGACGTACAGCGGGGCCTTGGCCCTGGAAGAACAGAAACATAAATCAGTGATGTATAAATTAACAATTTTCACACTTCTGTAGTTTTCACCAGCCACAACTGCTTTTTCTCTTGTCGCCAAAAAACTCAAACCAGGATTTGTCCGGGTCCTGATGGGACACCGGTCTTCTGGTTGGCCCTGGTGTCCATTTAACCACTGTAAGGGCATAAAGACTGGAAACAAAGGGGAATAGCTAAACTGGCTCTGTCCAAAGTAAACAAAATCCACCGGTCAGCACCTCTAAACCTCACAAACATCTCAAGTGTTAAATGTGTACACAAACTGCAGTGTAAAAACAACATTGGTGGTTTTACTGCAGGATAAGTGCCGGACTATTTCTTGGCGGGGCCCAGTGACTTCCTTAAGTCAAACCACAAATTAATGTTTTTACACTGCAGTTTTTGTACGGTTTAAATAAACAGATGTAACAAGTTTATTCGTGTTTTAAAGGTGCTGGTAGGTGGATTTTGTAACCTTTGGACAGAGCCAGGCTAGCTGTTTCCCTTTGTTTTCAGTCTTTGTGCTAAGCTAACCTTCCTGTAGCTTCATATTTAATGTACAAAAATGAGAGAGGTGTCCGTCTTCTCAACTTCATCTGGCCAAGAAACTGAATAAGTGAATTTCCCAAGAGTTGATATCCTCATGCTTTCATACTGACCTGCACACAGTTAGTCTGTGATAAAGTGTCACATCGGAGCTTTATCGGCCAGGTTAACCTCTTCGCTCTGAAGGCAGGCTCGCAGTCTGTCTTGACCTTCTCACAGAGCGCTCGGCAAGGCCTCAGCTGGCTGTTTTCGTCCGAGCCGCATTCGGGCACAACAACACGACACAGGAGTGCGGCGATGTTTGGAGAACAAGCCGTCTCTATCATCTGACCCGTCTGCTGCAGGTTGTAGCCTACAGCTCCAGTTGGATATGGGGTGGTGGTGTATCCCAAGCCTTGACAAAAGCTGGATGTTAGTGGCTTGCAAGGTAACTTGCTGTGTGCTCGCTGAGGAGACAACAGCAAACCCAGAACCACCAACACCAAATGCTTCATGGCTCTCAGTGATCTCAACCGTCCTGTGCTGTCTAACAAAGCTTCTGGAGGTTGGAGATGAGTGTGTCTCTGCTGCTCTGCTCAGGAGGTGGAGTACGAGTCCACGAATGGAGTCTCTACAAACAAGGCACTGATTTAGGACCACTGCTGCAACAAGATGCTAAACATAAAATGAGAACCAAACTGGTCTCAGAGCAGCAGCCCTGCTCTGAGAATAATGAGCTTTGTTAGAACATCTGGTTGTGATTGTGTGCTTTCTGTGGGGGGTGAGAATTCGTTGCACAACAAACCTGACTTCTGGATGGAACATATTTCGACACTAATAGGATCGAGAAAATAAAGCGTCAACATGTTGTGATTTTTAAAAACAACTGTGTCTTCAGTTCTCTGGAACTTTGAATCCTGTAAATAAAGACACGAGTTCCAGGATTTCACACCCAACATGTGGCATCATGTTGTTTAACTATAAACAGGATTAGTAGATTCTCTCAGGAACACTGAGCTAAAAAGACTGCAGTGAGACCTTTTCAAAGATGAGAGCTTTTGATGAATGTATTTAATTACAGAAAGATCCAAAATGTAGAACAGGACATGACTCACAAAGGATTTGAGCACGACAGGTTTGATGAATACACAGTTTGTGTTTGTCTGTTGTGTAACTGATAATATTTCTTTTAAACTCAGGTACAATGAAAATGTATCAGTAACAATATTATTAGCAGTGCTAGTTGTGTTCCTGTGTAGATGGTGATGGTACATGAATCTAACACTTGATCACAGACTGACATTTTAAGGGGAGACACCCTAGGTGAAAACATGCATTTTAATGCACTGGTAAATTTTGAGATTTTGGGCTGTTTTGTTTCCATAACATGTCTTGTTTTAGACTAGTGGAAAGAAAACATACACAATAAGCGTTTAGGTTTATCTTAGTTCAGATTTCTGTTCTGGAAATGTAAGCAAAAAGCGCAAATGTTGTTAGATGATCATATTTCAGAAAAAAAAAGTGTCTTAAAGGGACATTTTGTAACATTTTCAGTTGTTAATCGGCAAAAATTGATGTCTGCATTCATAAATATGTCATCATTGGTGTATTATTACCTCCACCAATAATCTGACTTATTCTCGTAAAAGGAGAATTTCGGATTTGTTTGTACATTGTGCGGGTAAGTCGTCTGGGGGGTTCCATAACATTTTGCCATCTTGAAAATACATCCGCCAGCAAGGGACATACAGCCCCGCCTTCGGCCTTTTCGTTGAGAGCCAGGCCAGCTCTGCGTGACTGAGGAGCCGAAGGAGAGGAGCAAGAGGCGCTTCGCTACTACCCCGGCAAATCTGAAACAATGTCTTTGAGCATAATGCAGGATCATGCATATGCAGCATCACGGGAGACGGAATCCTCATCGCCAAGAATGTGCAAAAGGGAATCAAAAAGGCAACGTGACCGGCGAATTCAAAAAACAAGGGTCAACATTGGGGTTGCCTTTCCCAGGTGGAGAGAGCTGCTGAAGGAGAAAGGTAATGCAATCACAGGGCAGTCCCACTGGCTGCTAACAGCTGTTAGCCGCTGTTAGCGCTGTTAGTGTTGTTAGCGGTTAGCGGCGCTGTTGCGAGGAGAGGGATGAGGTGTGTGAGGGTGAGCCACTTGTCAGTTGTCAAAAAACAGGACGTGATTGGTTTGTTTCTATTTACATCCGCCCCAACAGTCCTACGTTGTAAACACAGCCAGCATGGTGAAGAGGGGGTTTGTCAACTCGCGTCGCGTGTGTCTGTGTAGGAGCCTGAATGAATACTCCATGAAGTATCGGATGACATGGTTTCATCAGTGTTATCATAGCTTTTTGGTACACAGCGTCTACAGTTGTTGCAATACGTGTTTGAAACAGTGAGGCGCTAGAGTGCACCATCTGTTTGAATGCAATATATGAGTTCAACGTTAGATGGGAGAAATTCCTACACACTGTGGCTTTAATGTAGCCTGAGTAATCAACTGGGGAAGTTTCATGGTGAAATCTGTTAGTTAACATTTTTACCCCACTGTCTTATTTTTGTCTAAAATCTATCTTCAAAGGCTGTTTTCTCAAAATGAGTTATTTCTCAAACTCTGGGAAAACTTCAGCAGCACTTACACTCCTCAAACTTTACAGTTTTACTCCTATTTATATCCTGAAGGGTTTTACTGTGGGGTTTGTTCAGAGCCTGATTTACAGAACATTTTATTCCTGAAAACATGCCAAAAATTGATTTTTTTTAAAAAATGGCTGACAGTATTGTCTGACTCTTTCGGTGTGATAAAAACAGATGAAAAAGAGTTTTAAACCTGGTTTTATCAAATGTTCAGATTTTGGGAAATCCAAGCAGACAGTGCCTCATTTGCATATTTGAATGTACAATTTCACCAAATGTGCAATATAAAAAATAACTTACTTTCCTGTAAGAAATCATCTGGAGAAGTTTCATGGTGACATCTCTCATGGCGTGTCTCCTCTTGAAAAGTAACAACAAAACAACTACGCCTTGGTTTGTGCTGAATTTCATGACAAACCTATGAAAACATGATCTTTGGTAACCTCAGTCCAGACCTTTCAATCTGCCCACTCCAACAAATTCGAGTTGACTGATTTGTCTGCATCGTAACATGAAACAGTGGCTTCTCGGTTAAAATAAAAAACAGCCAATGAGAGCCGTGGGCGACACTTACACTGTTATTAAGTGGTTGTCAGTAATAACAACAATGGCAAGCGCTGTAGAGAAGATAGACGTTGCCATCGAGGCTGTTCTGAATCAACATGTTTTCTCAATATTGCCTGACATCGTGGTTTGTTTTTACTTTGCTTAAGTTCACTCTTAAAACCCCGGCAAAACCAGAATGTTGGCATGGAAACGCATCAGTGTGGACTTAAAGGTCCAGTGTAGGATTCAGGGGGATATACTGTCAGAAATGGAATACATTAAGTCTGTTTTCTTTGGTGTAAAATCACCAGAAAATATGAATCGCTGTGTTTTTGTTACTTTAGAATGAGCCGTTTATATCCATCTCTATCTCATTTTTTGTTTCTACAGTAGCCCAGAATGGACAAACCAAACACTGGCTCTAGATTGGGACATTTGCATTTTCATGTTGGCCACCATAGTTAAGGGCCCATCTCCTACACACAGTGTCTGAACAAACATTCATGTGTAACTTGAAACTGCTTTATGGAGTGTTTTTACCGTTTCAAATCACCTGGTCGGAGAGGAAGAGATCTCTGTGGATAATTCAGCTCCCGGTAAAAACCTCCAGAACAACAAAAACTGAAGGAATTCTTACCGGGAGAAGTTTCAGCTGGTTGCAATCTGCAATAAACCCCCTAAATCTGACACACTGCTCCTTTTAAAATGATTTTTTTTGGGGGGTAAATTGAATCCCCCTCCTCCACTGGAGTCACTTAGAGTGGACACAATGTCAAACCAAAGATGAACACGGAATGTAACGAGGTGACATTTCTGTCTAATGTCAGGCAAGATCTTTTGGTGAATCCTAATAATCAGTCAGCGTCTATGGAAGCAGAACTGAGTGCACACTTTGGCAGCAGCAAGATGCCAAAGCTTTCGATCTCCAGCATGTTCCAGGCTGAAAATCTGATTGGCTTCATAGCAGGAAGGACATGTGTGTCAGAAGATGTCCGAAGGCCAGCAAAAAAAAAATCCCCTTAATGTTCATTATTTAACATCTCTAAAAACAGAGGAACAAAACAACCTTGAGACTCTGGATCTCTTGTTTTTGGGTCATATTTCATCGTGTCTCGTGTAGTCTCCCATTTTCCTCCTCCTTATCCACGAGGCTTCAGAGCCACCAGCACAAAGTTTCTTGGGGAAAAGTTTGGGTTGAAGAGAGGAACCAGCTGACTGTCCACACCTGCAGAGAGACAAGGCTTCAGTTAGAGCTGAAGGAAACACACAGCAGTGAAGTTTGTTAGTGTCACAGCATCCAACTGCTCACCGTTCTCCTGCAGGTAGATCATCCTGTCCAGCAGCACCAGCGTCTCCACCACAGGAGCCAGCAGCAGGGACAGGCTGAAATACACCACCACCCTGCTCTGCTGCCTCAACATGGCCTCCACCCGCTCCGGGTCCAGAGGCATCTCAGGAGGCAGGCTGACCCGTGCCAGACCCAGGCGGGCGTACCTGAGAGGGATAAAGACAGACAAGGACATTTCCATTAATTCTACATTAATAGTGACCTTTATTTACCTCAGCTGAGCTTTATTTTTTATGTCTCCTGATTTATAAGAATTACTACTACTTTTTTCATAGCCGTACCCAAGCTCTACAGAGAAGTGAAGCATAAACCTGAGGAATCTTTGAGTACAGCAGGAAGGGTGGCGTTAACCTGTGACACCCCTACTGTAGTTAAAACAGATCAAGCACAAAAATATCCATAATAATTTAGATTTGTTTGGACAGTTTAAGACTTCAGTGAACTTCCTCCTCTGAGCAGCGCAGTACGCAAACATTAGACATGTTGTAAACTGGAGGCTGCAGTGTTGACTCACTCTGTGAATGGAAGCAGATGGGCTTTCTTTATGGTTTGGATTCCGGCCCTGCGCAGATCCGGCCTCGTATCCCTGATGAACGTCTCCAGCATCGCCCGGTAACAGTGTGTCTTTAGCAGCTCGCTCTCCTCCCGAAGCCTCCGTACATAGTCCTCAATGGCATGACACGCCCCCTCCCTCGCCTTATAGGACAACTGATGCCCCGGCAGCCCTCGCACCCAGGAGCTCATCGGGTAGCCGAACTCTGAGTGAAGTTCTTCCTGGCCGGATGTTTGTGGAGCTGCTACCCGTCCTGGAGGGGAGGGATTTTCTTTGGTGGTGATTTTCATGTAGCAGCACGCCACAGAGGTGATGCCGCGTACGTGTGGGCAGTTGACAAAGTGGCGGAGGAGGGTGGCGCTGAGGTCACCACAGGCATGGAGACCGGTGAGGACAAAGTCTGGGCTATTCTCCTGAGGACATACCGCCTCCTGACAGACAGGCTGCACACACGAGCAGCAGTTTTTAGCAGATGACTCCTCAACAGACGTGTTTAACGGATGCTGTGATGTTGATTCAGAGTCCAGTGAGCGACTGTCAGAGTCTGTGGAAGCACAACACGATGGAGTCTGGACAACACAAGAGGACCGCTCATGCTCAGAGCCCCGCAGTTTCTTTTTGCTCGGTCCAGATGGAGTCGGGGAACCTTCGGAGACACAATCTGCCGCACTCAGCTGCTTGATGAAGGCCTCCCATGATGCCTTGGGGTTTACCCAACCAGCCACGTGGCGGGGAGAGGACTGTGAAGCTGGGACCAGAAAGGAGCAGCTCTAGGAGGAAGAAAGATGTTTATCAAGTCAAGTCAAAATCTATAAGCCCAATATCTCAAAGGGCTGTACAAATAAACATTTCAGTTCAATTTCAATTTTTTTTACAAAGTTCAATATCACAAATCACAATTTCCTTCAGAGAGCTTGTCAAAATATGACATCCCTCTTATCAAATTTGGTTTTGATGGGTTGATATAATCGATAGTAAATAAAGCACTTTAAAGCTGCTATAATATTTTTACATGAATAATGTAATAAAGGGACACTTTGCAGATTTTAAACCAGCTTTGTATCATAACAATGTGGGTAGTATGTGCAAATTAACTGTGGCAAACTTCCCTCCATCTTACCAGTGCCCAGATCTCCCTACTGCCCGAGAGTGAAATGCGTCAAACTACTGATTGTATTTTTTCATTTTCGTATGCCCGCCGCCATGGACACAAAGAGTACAGAGGCGAATCAAGAAAGAGAGACCCACCCCCCTCTCTCTGTTTCTCAAACGGTAAAACCAGGAAGTGCTGATCAAATAATCAAGATTCTATTACTGCGTTGCCCATTTCTCAACTCAAAGTTTTCAGAAACATATTTAAAGTTACTGTTTAACTGTAATTCAACACTGTTTGTTACCAGCCGTTTATCATATTGTTACGTTAAAACGTCCAAGCTTGCATTATGTCATCCATCAGTAGGAGCGTTTATTGGTCTTGTGTAGTGCAGTGCATTCTGGTAGTTGTAGGTTTTCTAGCTCTTGAGCAAAACCAAGTGTCACAGTCCCATCTTTGTTTTCTCTGGTCACGTAACACCAATTTCAAAAGTAATTGTGTCTCCTTCTGCATAGACGGCCCGGTTTAATGTAAGGAACATCTTTGCAGCAGTGAAATACTTCTTTAAATGATTTCTTCTATGTGAAAGGTGTCACTCTAATTGACGAACCCAGCAATTACCAAAAAGCTTCGATGTTTGGTATTTAGGAACCTCTCATGGTCCATGCTTGTTTTTAGGATAAAAACAGAATAAAAGGTAATCAATGCCATCTGCCACTGCGCTACTACTCTTTACTTCCATTATGCTTTATGCATAGCCCTCCTTTGATCCTTGATTATCATGGTTCTGCTCAAAACCAGTGGAAACACAGGTTGGTTCCCTGCAGAGTACAGAGGTTCCAAGAATCCTGAACAGAACTGGTTGAAGAACCAGAGCTAATTCGGTGGAAAAGAGGCATCAGTGAAGACTAATGAAGCTTAACGAAAGTGATTTTGACAAATAAATGCTCTTTCAAAACCAACCTTTGTCTGTGGACTAATAGTGTGTCACACGTTCAGCAAAGCACCAACCTTTTTCTGCTTTTCCTTCTCCAAGGCCCACAGTAACTGCTGGTCAAACCTGGACGCCATGGCAACCAGGGTGTGATCAGCCTCAATGGCGGTCACAGACAGCCCGAGTCCAAAGGACAGGAAACGAGTCAGATGACCCTGTTCAGAGCAGAGCGGTGCAAAACTCAGGATTTAATGTGTAATGATTTTACAGATATTTATGTGACGTACACGTGATCACAAGACAAAAACCAACGGTGAATATATCCTCTAACAAGTACAGTTTGTGTATCTACAGCCTGACATCTCCTCTTCTTCTTCTGTGGCATAAAGCGCCATTAAAAACATGTTAATGAGCCACACTGTGTCACATGTTCCTACATTACCACTAACACGTAGTTTGTTTTAACGTAGTCCCACATACACCTTCCTGCTGACACAAATACTCATTTAATCCAAATGTGGATGAATCTGCTGCTGAAAACAGTCCCCAAGAAAGTCACTATTTCCTCCTTTTTGTTTGATAAAAACTACAGTGAGCAGCTGTTTTCTGACAGTAGGATTGACTGATACCTGTCCAGAGCCCACATCCACCACACTGCTGCAGGCAGTCTGCTCACAAAGTCGTTTTACCAGCTGGGATTCAAAAAAGGGAAACAGATTAAAAACACTGTTGACAGAAGAACTGTTCATTTAAATTCTACTTTAAAACACAGTGACAGTAGCAAATAATCAACCCTGTACCGTGCCCAGCTTGCGGATCTCATGCTGTTTCTTGGGTTTGACGTGTTTCCTGAATATGTGTCCCAGCAGCGAGCTCTGACTTTGGTTTTCCTGGAACTCCTCAGGTTTCACCTAGCTCGCTGTCCGGCCCTGCTCCTGCCCGCACTCTCTGGGAAACGCCAGAGCGTGAGCTGTTGCACGAAATGCCAAGAGAGACAGAGGCCACACCGACGGGTATCTGTAACTACAAACTCTTATTACGATCAGATCATGAGGCTGGCAGTGTTTCATATTAATCTCACTGTCAACATATCTTACAAGGGGTCCATGCTGCCAAACTACAAATTAATTACACTGACACAAAAATAATCAGACTGTTGGAGAAGACGATATTCACATGCTTTTAGCATCTCCACATTAGCAACTTCAGAATTTTTTTACTCAATATGAAGTTAGCTGCAGCCTCAGACCCCTCATAGTCTAGAGTAAAAACTACTTGCAGCCAGAATTTACAAAAACAAACTTCACAACTGTCCAAGAAGTCAACATGAGGCAAACAACAAACCCTTTGGTACTGCTTTGGTATTATGTCCTGACCCTTTGCTGTTTTGTGCTTCAGTTCCTTGTCTCATAATGATTATTCCTGCTTTATTTGTTTTAGTTTTTCCCCGCTCTACTCTTTGTAAATGTACTATCCAGCAGTACCTCCGGTCTCCATGTGCGGCATCCAGTAACAGGTCTGCAATCTGTGGGTAGGACAGGTCCTGCAACACCTGCTGCCAGGTGTTGGGTAGAGTGTGCCAGAGATCTTCAGTGAAGAACTCCTGCAGGGAAAATAACAAAGTGACCGTTATTAGAGAAACTACATGAATCCAGTTGGTTACAAACAGAAATCTAGGGGATGCTTTCCATGCAGCCTTTCTCGACTAGAGATGCACCGATCCAGCTTTTTCAGTTTGGATCCCGATCCCGATGCTGTGGCTTTGAGTATCAGCCGATACCAATCCGATACCATGGTTGACCTAAAAAGCTATATACCTTTACATGTAGAACAGAAAAGACTAGAGGCATCGGGCATTGATGACTACACAGTTCTTTCCTGAGATAAAATGAAACAAGATGAAACAGATTAATCTACATCTACATCTTGTAACTCTTGAGACAAGTGTTTGCTCACTTTCTCGTAAATTCAGGACAGTGCTCCCATAGACTGTGACAGTTTGCAAAGGGTATGAATAATTTTGGACATGCCACTTTTTGTTCAAATGTAAATAAAAGCTGAGAAATATTTTTTTTCACAATGATGCCTCTTGTACATCGTCTTACTATCTTCTGGGAGACGCCTGTGTCATTTCCAATCAAGAAAAAACTTGCTGGTTGAATAAAAGTGACTTTAAGTCAAAATTTGCCAGGGGTATGAATAATTTCGGGCTCGACTCTACATCTTGTAACTCTTGAGACAAGTGTTTGCTCACTTTCTTGTACATTGCCGACAATGCGGTCTCGGAAAAATATTCGCGCAACGGCAAATTCTACCATGGCTCCAGGTGATCCTGTAAACGTTGGAAGCCCACGTTTTCAACAACTGTCATTGGTTGTCCATCCAAAACAATGTACTCCAGCAATTCTCAGAAATTTTCACAGCTTTTGCGCTATTGCTAGGGAATTTCTCTCTTCTTTGCAGCACATCTGCTAACGTTAACTGCTGTGCAGTATTACCTCCTGCTCCTTTCGACATGCTCAACTGCTGGAACTCTTGGTGCTGCGTTTGGTGATGTTTTTGTAGATGCTTTATTAAATTGGTAGCATTATACTTGGCGGTACTACCACCACCCCTAGCAACATTCACTTTGCAGATGTTACAAAGTGCGGTCGGGCTTGTTGGAGTGTTCAGTGTGAATCACCTCCACACAGCAGATTCTCTCCTTCGCTCCATGACGTATGACATAGCTCGCGTCGCAATAGATGTAAAAGGAAAGAATCGCCTCAGGTATAGGTTGCATTTTCCGATACTCGATCCATTTATTTTGATGATATCGGGGTCGATATTCGATCCACATATCGGATCGGTGCGTCCCTGTTCTCAACTCAAGAATATACCTGAATTGAGTCTCTGCTGCAGCTGATTAAGATGATTTAAACACAGAGGGCAGTGAAACTGGCTGGTAGTGATCAATATCCTTGAGGATCCTATCCTTTAGTAAAAAACTTATACAACACTGTCAGGCGCAAAAATGGAAATACATAACTACTTAAGTAAATATAAATGTACTTAGTTACATTTCTCCACTGCATACATCTCTCAAAGACACAATCGGTGGACACAAAATCTCTTTTGTTCCTGTTTTCACAGGTTAAAGTTAAAAATCTAGGACGTGTTTATGCACTCAGTAGTTATATTCAAGATGATGATGTAATGATGCTTTTAAATCAGCATCTTGGATGGGTTATCTTGGAAGAGGAGAAGGGCTCAGTAATTTGGGTGAAACATATCTGCTTAGGCCATAAAAAATGTGCAGTATCAAGTATGTAAGTTTCCAAGACAGCGTGATTTTTAAAGCATCTTTGTTTAAAAACATACCAACAGTCCACTCCTCTAACACAGCTGGGTCAACACACAACAGGAGAAGCAGCAAACAAGTCATTCATCCACACTCACAATAATATAGGAGTCGGATACGTGGCTGTAGTGAGACAGGAAAGCGCTGAGTCTTTCGGCCAAGTCTCTCTGTTGTCCTGCTGAAAGAGTTGGTGTCAACATCTCCACATCCTTCACTGCTGACAGCTCACTGACATGGGACTGCAAGACTGGAAGCTAATGCTAACACAAGTTAGCTTGTTAGCGCTGCGTTATTCACCCCACTTTGGACGAAGAGTGTCTAAAAGTACAAACTAACTCTCACGGTACTTAAAATCGGTTTATATAACGCTTATTCGTCGCCTTTCACTTCACTAATGCTTGTTGTGGTTAGCAGCTAGCTTAGCTTCCACTACACATGTAGGTGCCTTCAGGTGCTTCAAGGAAATTCCGGTTTCGGCGCTCGTACGTAAGCACTGAATGTAGTCTCTCATTAACTTGGTTTAGAAATTAATTAAATAAGCATTTTTCATCTTTACAAGTATTAACTGATACTAATATACTAATATAAACTAATATAAAATGTCTGTCAAATTACGTCACAATTTCTGGTATCTCATAGTATATATTGTCTTAAACACATCCATTTTCACCATATACATGTATTATTGATTCATTTTTATTCAGATATCTATTTTTTTGTTATTTTGGCCTTGCTATTTTTATATAGGTTTGAATTTTTTCTTAATCTGTTTGTAGGGTCAGATGGGGTAAGGTGCTCCCACCCCCTTAATTCCTCTCCTAACCAATATGTTATGCTTAGTTAGTCGGCTCTGCTCTAATGTGTGGTGACATTTCATCTTAACTGCTGCATTCTTCACATTTATTCTACCAGAACAATTTTGAGTAGGGATGCACAATATCCGATATGCTGATATATAAAAACTCACTTGGCTGATAACCGATACCAATATCGATATATCCACTTTTTTTCCAACCTAATTTTAGTGATCATCAAGTCTCTTCTGTGATGGAATTAACATCATATTGTACGTGTATGTTTGATGGCCCACCAGCTGATGGGGACATGAGATAGAATGCTTTTCAATGTATGTAATATTCTTTCATTCTGCAAAATAAGAAAAAGCATGTTGGCCGATTCTGATAGTTCATTTTAAAGTCGATATTTGTCTTGAACTCGCTTTGACCATTCTAAACCAGGTCTGAAGATTTTTCTGTTTATGCTTCTTGCTGCTGCAACTTTTTTAAAATGTTGTTTCTTGCTTGATTTTATGATGATGGTTTTACAATTCTATGATTTCATGATGTGATGATTTACGAGGTTTTATTATTTATTTCATCTCATGATTTTTAAAAAGATTTTAAGTCTGTTTTATGTTCATTATGTCTATTTTCATGTGAAGCACTCAGTGCTTACACTGCTCTTGTTGTAAAGCAATTTGTGCTGCATCTCTTGTATGGAAAGTGCTATGCGTGCTATACTGGTGCTATTATTATTATTATTATTATTATTATTATTATTATTATTATTATTATTATTATTTGAGACGGTTGAAAAAATTATTTAGGATAATTCAACAATACATATCGTCATAGGAATGATGCAGGTTGCATTCTTCCAAACAACACAGACAGATTCAGAACAAAATCAAAATAGCAAGGCTGTAATTTACATTACTAAAAGAAAAAAGAGAGATATTTGAACAAAAAATTAAACAATAATACATGTAAATCGTGAAAATAAATGTGTTTAATGCTATAACGTTATATTATGAGACACAGTAAACCCATATGGTAACAGAGCCAAACCCAGTTAATAAATAATACAAAACAATTCTTTTATCTTGGGAAGAATACCAGATATTGCGACATAGTTTTGACAGACCTTTTACATTCTGTTATCATGTGGTATTTATACAGCAGAAAAAAAACTATTTCATTTATTTCTGCACCAGGTTAACAAGGGTGATTGTAAATGTAATATTTACCCATAATTACGACGATACTGACCATATCTGGTTTTTATTTGGAGAGGTGATCTTTGCAAATTAGAATATCGTATGTGTCAAATAGTGGGATATTTTCTGTTTCATAGCCAAAAATTGCCAAAATTATTATGTGAGTGTACATTAATAATACAAAATAAAAGCTGTCTCAGGTTCTTCAAGACAGAAAAAACATGAGTTAATGTGAAATCCAAATCACCTTCTTTGGCGTCTCTGCTGCAGGATATCATGTGTTAATAATTCAGTTTATTTAAAATTTAATTTAATGTACTTTTGTGACCTTTGGAGAAATGTGAGACAGTTAATGCGTCTAATACATAGACTTAGTAGTAGTAATTGTTTATCCTTGTTTCTGGCTGTCCCTGAAGGCAGCATGACCCGGATGTAGATGGTTTGTTGTGAGCAGGAAGAAGCGTGAGGAGCCCGCACGGTGTGGTGGTGCAGCAGCAGCAGCAGGTCTGGTTTTATATTTCACAAAGTTATTTTCAGATATTTCCTTATCGGGAATCTTTCGGTATCAAACTATTAACGGACACGACCGCGCTGAGCTGAATTAGCCGTTAGCTCAGGTAACGTTAGCGAGCTAACGGTCGGTGGAGGCTAACGTCTGTGTCCTGCTACGTCAGATTAGTTAGCATGTTTTACATTTACGAGCTAATTAGGACATTTTCTGTGGACTTCACCTGTTTGTGCACAGCCCTGTGTCAGTAGCTTGTAAATCACTTGTACAGTAGGGTGCAAGATAAGCAAATGTAGGTTGTTTCATGTCACATTAAGCTAATTAATTCAGGAAAAAGTAGCACAACTACAGAGTACAAATACTGCGTTACAGGTAAAAGTCCTGCATTCAGAATCGTACTCTAGTAAAAGTACCTCAACTAAAAATACTCATCATGCAGAATGACTCACACCACAATATTATGGAGCCTTACATTGCACTTAAACGCATCAAGGATTTTACATCCGTATATATTCAATTTATAATATCATCAGTCAGACTGACCGTTAAAGGAATGAACACAGAAAGGTTATGTTTGGTTGAACAAATATTTTATTACCATAACTGACACCATTATGTTAATGAATATCATATCATATATAAGCAAATGAGCACAGTATGATGACCATCAGCTTTATATCATGGTATACCTTATAACTGGTGTATCACTGCAACCCTAACACTGACACTGACACTGACACTGACACTGGATACTGCAACACTTCAATTAGTAGTCCGGCTATTATTTGCTTAAATCACTGAAATCAACAGGCGTCTGTTTGGGACAGGCCTTTAATTCCTTTCACACAGAATCTCAGCAAAGATCGGGAAATTAATGTTACTTGTATATAAATTATGAATCATTCATTTGTTCAGACAGGTAGGGCACCAGAGAGGATTACAGCACCTGGCACACTGACACAACACCACTTTATGCTAATAATCACTTTACTTGTTCTCTTATCTCAGACATGTATTAAGGTGTTAGATACCTTTTTAGGCTTCTTGACATATTTCGGCGAAAACTCCCGCCTTCCTCAGAAGGGAGAGGATCACGCCTCCCTAACATCAGCTGACTGACAGATCAGCTGATAAAGACGTGTCACAACCACCACCAAGTGACACTTCTGAGGAAGACGGAAGTTTTCGCCAAAACATGTCAAGAAGCCTAAAAAGGTATGTAACACCTTAACGCGTGTCTGAGATAAAGGAACAACTAAAGTGATTATCAGAAGTAGCACTGCAGTGATTAGTCGACTAATCAATGACTAATCGACTATTAAAATAATCAGTGACTGTTTTAGTAGTTGACTAATCGGTTTGAGTCATTTTTCATAGGAAAGTACTATAAAAGTACCCCAAAATACTCTTATTGCAGCTTCTTGCGTTCAGATATTGGCAGCTTTACACACTCTCCCATGACAGTGAACTAAAACCCTTTGGTGTGAGTATGAAACAAGACATTAGATGACATAATTTTGGGTTTGGGAGAGACAGAACAACATTTTTCAACATTTTAATACATTTTTCGATAAAATGATTAGTCGACTAATCGAAGAAATAATCAACAGATTAGTTGACAATGAAAATAACCGTTAGTTGCAGCCCTAATAAGAAGCTGAAGCCATAATGAACACCATTGAACTACCACTTTATCCTGTTAAAACAATCCTCTCAACTTGTATTAATTTTTTATGAAAAACCCTTTTGATTCTTTTGATCTGAGCACCCTTACAGACTGAAGGAATCTGAATAACTTACAGGTTGATTTGAGAAATGGACACATAATTTGACAACAGCCTGCTTTTATACAGCCGAAGACTTCTATAGAAAAGAAAATAAACTGCTTGGCAACCAGACCAGGTGTCTAATTGAGACAGGCGTGTATTTGTCAGAATGTGTAGCCAAACTGGGCCAGTAAAGGGGACTGGGTGTTTAATTGGAACTAGACTTTTGATTTAAGTTTTACAGTAAGTGCCTCATACAACCCTACTTTAAAAAATCTGAGCTATCCTGTAAATATTGCAGCTTGTAAAGGTGGAGCTAACCTCAAGTACTTTAATAGATAAATACTTTATTGACCCTGAGGGACATTTAGGAATTAATATTCTAGTAGAAGTGTCCTGATGCGTTTAAGTGCCCTTCATAAATTCTTGTTATAGCTTGCAGGTGGTTGCACACAGGTTATGAGGAAGTTATCCAAGTGAAGACAGGGTTTTTAATGACGCTGTGTTTGTGTTGCAGGATGATCCTTTTAATCTGGTGTCAGCTGATACAAACTGGACCAAACAGTGTGAAGACATACTGAAGGGCAACATAAGCAGATCTGCACGATTGCTTTGAGAAACATCACTTTGGACCTCTGCTGAACCGGGACCATAATCATGTCGGACCTTACCATTAACTTGTTCCTCTCTGATGACGCTGCACCGACGAGAACTGTAACAGCCAGCAGGAAGAGGAGGAACCAGCGGCTTCGTCAAAAGATGCGGTATTTAAAGGAGAAAGGCCTCCTGGAAGGTAGAGACGCCAGCAACCACAGGGAGGGACAGTCCAGATGTGGCGCACGTCCACGCCTAAACGGAGCATCCGCGAGGCATCCATTGCTCCCCACTTCCACACACGACACAAGTGTACCTCGTCCGAGTGGCACAGCCAGCGCTTCACACTGTAGCTCCAGACCTTCGACATCCACACACAGCCTGCCTTCCTCGACTGTGTCTGTGAACCACACAGGCAGCCACGAAAAGCCAAAGGAACCTGTGAACTTAAAACCAACAAGCAGCGCCCACCCACCCTCAGCGTCAAGCAGCCATAGACCCACGGCCAAGCAAACATCAGCAGGAAACCCCTCCAAGTACCTCGCGATTGACTGTGAGATGGTGGGCACGGGACCGAAGGGGAGCATCAGCCGGCTGGCACGCTGCAGTCTGGTGTCGTATGATGGAGACGTGGTTTACGATAAGTTCATCAACCCCTCCGTGCCTGTCACTGACTACCGCACACGATGGAGCGGCATCCGGTACAGTGACCTCATCAATGCCACGCCATTCTTTGAGGCCAGGAAGGAGGTGAGTGTTTAGTGTGTTTTAGCCGGACATCCATCACATCTGATTGGCCTGGATCATATCCTGCCCTCTTAAATGTGTGAGAGACGCCATAACATGTGACACATGTAACACATAATGATTCCTCTCACATCAGATGTCTACTACCTGGCTTCAATTCATCACCTCACCATGTGTCTCCAGTTTAACCTGTCAGACGGGTCAGAGTTTCCCTAAATCTACACACATTTCCTCTTCAAGCTTTTCCTTATGAATCCCAGTTTATGCTTAGAATGTGGTGTTTGCACATTTCAAGTGTATGCAATGGTTATAAATGAGAGTTTTAAGTACATGTAGTGGAAAAGTGCTTTTGCAAGACTATAAAACACTGCAAATTGCTGAGTAATATTTGTTTTACTATTTATTCATTTGATGCAAAGACACTGAAGTAACTTTGTAAAGCCAGTACCTGAAGACGTGTGTGCCATTAATGCAGATTTCTACTGTTTGCACTGTTTCTCTTTGTTTCCTGGTTCGTCCTGTCCTGTTTAACCTTGCACCTCTTTTTGTCTTGTGGGACAAACTTCATCATGTTTTATTCAGAACTGTGCTGCATTAAGAAACAAAGCACACAGGGTTACGCTTGCATGCTAATATATGAAATTCATATTCGCCTTCCAGTGTTGGCCACTGTCAAATTATTAGGTTCCTCGTTGAATGCAGCCACAGTCAAACATGTCTGTAAATCCTTCAGTGATATTTTTTATTTAAGTAGAATTGTGTTCTTTCATTTGAATTCTACGTTAGCAGTTTCTCGTACACTGAATAGATCAGACGGGTCAACATGTATCAACAGTCTGTTTACTGTGAACCAGAGCTGAAACTGTCCTTTAAATGAATCTGTGAGTGAATGTTTCCTCTGTTGGCAGATACTGAGGCTGCTCATGGGAAAGGTGGTGATTGGCCACGCCGTCCACAATGACTTCAAGGTCCTCGGTTACTCTCACCCCGGCGCCTTGACCAGAGACACGTCTCGAATCCCTCTGCTCAACCAGAAGGCCGGCTTCGCCGCGAACGAGTGCGCCTCGCTGAAGAGACTCACCAAGGCCATCTTCAACCGAGACATCCAGGTACAGGAGCCCTTGGCACCTTTCATACACACAGCTCAGCCATTTAACATGCTGGTCTCATGTCTGAATAAACGCCCAAGTGTCTTTTATGTAATCGTCAGGATGGCAACACAAGTGTGAATTGAATGCTGCTTCATGAATGTAAAGGCCACAGCAGCAAAATGCAGAGAGAGACTGAATACAAGTTTTAAAAGATGTAGGGAAAGAGTGCAAATATATAGAACTCAAATAAAAACAAAATACAAACAATAAGAGTTGTCAATAAGTTGCAAAAACCAAATGTGCACTATCAGAAATACAGTGGTAAGGACCCCACATATTTATGAGACGTGGCATTGAGCTACACATGTACAATATGTTTTTCCCTTTTTAAGATGACTAATATATTTATTACTTATCTATTTTGCACAAAGAGAAAAAATGAGTTTATTAAACCACATAACACTCTGAATGAACCATTTTTAAGTTATTGCAAAGTTTCTTCCTCAGGGGATCGTACAACTGTAATAATCAGATTTGTTTTCAGTTCGTATTTACTCCATCTTCATAGATGAATACATGAATGTCCAGTAAAATGCTTCACATAGGCTACAACATGTGAGCAAACTTCCAACTTCATGTCTTGTCATGCTACACTCTTACACTCTTGGACTTTACGACTCAGACAGCAGAATTTGCTTTTTGTTACTTTGCCAATTTAAGAAATTTTGGCATTGACGTGTAGATTTATCAGTGGATTTAATGTGAGAAGTGAGATCAAGTTTGCAATGGCTTTTAATTAAAGCTTCACAGGTAAAAAGTGAGACACCCACACAGCTCATAGCAACGCCTTCCTTCATGTCCTTATCAGATTAGACTGGGAAAAAAAATGGAAAAGTGTAAAGCCATGGGGAACATCTACATGTTACATGTTGTTCAAGGATTTGTTTTCTTATCTGCTGTGAGGGTCCAAGGACAGAGGGTGTGGTATGCTCGCTATAAAACCTCTGAGGCAAATAGTGATTTGTGATATTGGGGTTTAGAAATGAAATTGAAATTGATTTCAGAGCAATGCTGTAGCAGAATGCTGATTTATACACGCTACTTACATACAGAGGAAATAAAGCAATGTTAAATCTGTTCTTCATTTGTTTAATTTTTTCCTATTAAAAAAAAACTCTAAAAGAACCTATAAGAGTATCAGTATTGTTAAAATCTTAACGATACCCATCCCTAACTTTGCAGATGTATCATCTAGGAAAACAGAAGTATCAGATTGGGACTTGATATCGGAACATACTTAATATTAAATGACTCAGATCAGGATTAGGGGCAAAAAACTAGACGGGACATCCCTACACCTTTTGTTAGGTTTTAAGTTCTTTCTTTATAAGCATTTAGCAAGTGGCTGAAATCCACTTTAGTCTGTAGACACTGACAGATTTAAACTGCAGCTTAAGGGAACCCTGTTAGTTGTGAGAAAGTTTCACCTAAAGTCGTCCTCTCTTGTGTCCTCAGTCCGGGAAGAGGGGCCACTCTTCTGTGGAGGACGCCAGAGCCACCATGGAGCTTTACAAAGTGGTGGAGGAGGAGTGGGAGAGGACACTGGCCTCCAAACGTCAGGCCAGTTAGTGCCAGGTTTGGAGAGACAGTGTGGAAATAAACCGAGTTTTAAGTGACATTTAGTGTTGCAGGTATTTTGTTTGGACCGACTGACTCGCTGCCTGGTCACAGGGTGGACTTCTTCTACTGTCCTGTTGGCGTGTGAATGGAGACGCTGCTCATTCAGTGATAAACTTCTACCAGCTGAATTTAAAAACTGTGATAGCATCATGGGAGAGGAATATAAGAACTGTTGGGTCAGACCTTCAGTTTCAGCAGTTCTTTCTCAGGGCTTGTTTGTGTTCAAAGGTGCTCCTGCCACCAGGGGGCAGTCATGTATTCATTCCTGCAACTGAAGTACATCATTGAAACTGTGTCAGTGATCCCATACACCAAAATAAATGGTTTCAGGTTTCCACCAGGTAAGTGTTTTCGATCAGATGTGCAGTTCAGCTGCTCCAGGACAACACTCAGCCCCGAGTCACGCTACAGTACTGTGGTGTGTATTCATCTTCTCTCCATCCGAGCGTGGATGATCAAGAGAATTTAATGTCTGACCAAACTGCCACTAAAAGAGCTCACATGTCAGTTTGGATTTTTATAGTTTTAATTATCCCAAAGTGAAGAATTGAGAAAAAAATGTTTTAATATTGTTCAGCTTTGGTGCTTCAGGGAGGGAGCCAGGATTTTAAAACAGAGATCATTAAGGAAGGCAAGTTTATTTATACGGCGCCATTCAGACACGAGGCAATTCAGAGTGCTTTACAGGGGCATAGAAATACATTAAAGATGAGAAAACATTCGATTGCAATAAAAAGAAAATTCAAAGACAGGAAGTGAGAACAAACAAACATTTAAAGATGATAGAAAAGAAAGAAAATGCACTAAAAAAGACAAACTAAAAATTATGTCTTTTATTGGAAACCCATAGTGGAATGATAATTTTTTTTTATTTTATTTTTTAATTAAGCCCTGATTTAAATTAGTTTAATTCAGGGCATTAGCCCTGGGGGTGGCTTTTATTATGAGAAGTGGTTATATTTATGGTTGTATTATTTGATAATTTCCAGACATATTTTAGAATGTGACTAAAAATGTTGGTTAAAAAAACTGCAAGCAGAGACATCTAGAAAAAAGGCACCATTAAATAATGTAGGTATATTACCAAAAATATGATTACATGAGCTCATAAAGCTCACAGGATGTAGTATGTTGGAGCTGGAGGCATAAATTCAAAATAAGTGTTAATGTTGTCACTGATGATTATTCTGGCAAAATATTTCAATACCTGATTTCCACTGTAATTGAAAGTTACATGATACTGGATTGCCAAATTCCCCCACATTAGCTCTGTGTCCTCCAACGCTCCATCCTCCATGTTTGTCATGACTGTCTTTATAAAACTGCTACTTGCTGACCCAGCCAGCATCCAGCTGCTCATCTGACGTCTTCCCATTCAGTTGATGCAACTTTGCTGTTTTGGTAAATTACATTTTGTTCTTTCAGAGTTTGTACAGTTTCCTATGCAATGTCAGATGACTTCAGTTGTCTGCTGCAGATTCAGCTCGGTGCTTAACTTCAATAAATCACCACAAGCATTTTAAGGAATTGAAATCTGTACTGTAATGAAGGTAACTTTCAGCTCGTACCGTCGTCATTGTACACTGAGAGTCAGGACTGACGTGTAACCTGGTGCAGCAGTGGTGCGCCCACAAAACGGGACACATTTACCTTTTATTCAGTTCCACTGTTTTTACTGTACGTCCTCATGTCAGCTAGACAACACAGTCAGATGCCAGTCAGCAGAAATTCTAATTAGCACCTCTCTCAAACATTTCCAACTAAAACCTGAACATTATGAACTTCATGACAGTGGGATTTATTCCAATAGACTGCAATAGTTCACCAGGTGTACTTAATAATCTGGCAACTGAAATATTTTACTGGAATTGTAAAATATATGAATTAACATGACAAATAAATTGACTTATTGTTAATTGTGATACGAAGGTTTTGGTTCAAAGTCTGAATGTGTATTTTCTTGTTGAATTACGACCCAATTGTGTCCGCAGAGTGAAATGAACAGTGTGTATCATGCAGTGCAGGACTTTTGTCTCCCCCCTCTGGCAGTGAGAATAATTACACAAACACTGTTGAAGCGTCTCAAGTCTCTTATTTGATATTTCCTCGCTCCTTGATCTTCACTTGAACCAGAAGACTCTCTGGTGCACCATTTTGAAAGCCATCTCAAAACTCTTATTTTTGCTGTGAGGAGCAAGGATCAAGGATGCTGATTGATTGGTTGATTGACAGATTGATTGGACTCTTCAGCTAATGGGACTGATCTGATAGATGACATCATACAGGAGTTTCATACCGTAATGAAGACAGATCACTCCCAAGTTTAATACTTAATTTATTTTCTGAACAGCTGTGTGAATTGTAGGTCTGAACAACAAAGGGAGCACAGACAACTTTCTTAATTAGACAGATTTTTCCTCTCACGACCTCGACATTTATTATAAATACACTTTAAATCAAAGAGAGAGAGTGTGTGTGTGTGTGTGTGTGTGTGTGTGTGATAGCATAAAACACTTGGTTCATCTTGTGTCGTCATTTCCATTTAGTCACACGTGAGGCTGATGATTCCTGAGCGTATGTTTTAATGAGTTGCAGAATTTCCATTTTCCCTGAAACATTTAGCCTAATACATAATATCCAGTGTTGAAAAGACACCATAATCATAATCTGGGTTAGTTAACAATGAATTCACAATCAGAATATCAATACAGATGCAAATGCTGAATATATAATAGGCGTTCTGTGCCTCTGAGCAGGACTCAGTGTGAATACAGAACGCAGGTTATTCATGTGTAGATGTTGGTTAAACAGAGAAAACACTGCTGCTAAGCCAGTGAGAACGTTGTGCCTTTATTAGTATGAGCAGCACAGTGCACTAGGGACGCACCAATCCGATATGTGGATCGAATATCAGCCCTGATATCATCAAAATAGATGGATCGGGTATTGTAAAATGCAACCAATACCTGAGGTGATCCTTTCCTTTTAAATCTATTGTGACGCGAGCTACGTCATACGTCATGTAGCTAAGGAGAGAATCTGCTGTGTTGAGGTTTTTCACACTGAACAGTCCAACAAGCCCGACCGCACTTTGTAATGTCTGCAAAGTGAATGTTGCTAGGGGTGGTGGTAGTACCACCAAGTATAATGCCACTGATTTAACAAAGCATCTACAAAAACATCACCAAACGCAGCACCAAGAGTTCCAGCAGTTGAGCAGGTCGAAAGGAGCAGGAGGTAATACTGCACAGCAGTTAACGTTAGCAGATGCGCTGCAAAGAAGAGAGAAATTCCCCAGCAATAGCGCAAAAGCTGTGAAAATTTCTGATAAAGTGCTGGAGTACATTGTTTTGGATGGACAACCAATGACAGTTGTTGAAAACGTGGGCTTCCAACGTTTACTGGATCACCTGGAGCCATGGTAGAATTTGCCTTTGCGCGAATATTTTTCCGAGACCGCATTGTCGGAAATGTACGAGAAAGTGAGCAAACACTTGTCTCAAGAGTTACAAGATGTAGAGTCGAGCCCGAAATTATTCATACCCCTGGCAAATTTTGACTTAAAGTCACTTTTATTCAACCAGCAAGTTTTTTCTTGATTGGAAATGACACAGGCGTCTCCCAGAAGATAGTAAGACGATGTACAAGAGGCATCATTGTGGAAAAAAAATATTTCTCAGCTTTTATTTACATTTGAACAAAAAGTGGCATGTCCAAAATTATTCATACCCTTTGCAAACTGTCACAGTCTATGGGAAAATCCAAAGTTCTATACCATTCCAAATAGTCCAGGCTGTTCTAAAGCATCCTAATTACCCCGATTCATTGGGAACAGCTGTTTTAATCAACTCAACAGGTGAAAAACAGCAGCTCTCTGCAGTTGGTTTGTGGACAGTCATGGCTAAGACAAAGGAGCTCACTGAGGACCTGCAGCTGCGCATTGTGGCTGCTCACAAGTCAGTAAAGGGCTATAAGGCCATATCTAAATGTTTTCAAGTTCCAGTGGCTACAGTGCAAAGTATTATTAAAAAATACAAGACGTTCCGCACTGTGGAAAATCTCAGAGGATGTGGTCGGAAGCCAAAAATTACACCACCAAGGCCATCCTGGTGAATCTGGGCTCTGCTGGTGGCAACATCTCAAGGCAGACAGTCCAACGGACACTGCACACTGCTGGGTTCCACGGACTCAGACCAAGGAGGACGCCACTTCTCCAGATAAGGCACACAAAAGCCCACTTGGCCTTTGCAAATGCTCATCTGGACAAAGAAGAAGACTTCTGGTCAGATGAAACAAAAATTGGATTGTTTGGCCACAATGATGTATCCTTCATTTGGCATAAAAAAAGGAGAAGCCTTCAACCCTAAGAACACCATCCCCACTGTCAAACATGGTGGTGGGAACCTAATGCTTTGGAGGTGTTTTTCAGCCAATGGACCGGGAAACCTAATCACAGTAAACGGCACCATGAAAAAAGAGCAATACATCAAGATTCTCAACAACAACATCAGGCAGTCTACAGAGAAACTTGGCCTTGGGCACCAGTGGACATTTCAGCACGACAACAACCCAAAACACACAGCAAAAGTGGTGAAGAAATGGTTAGCGGACAAAAACATTAACGTTTTGCAGTGGCCCAGCCAGAGTCCTGACTTGAATCCAATTGAGAATCTGTGGAAGGAGCTAAAGATCAGGGTGATGGCAAGGAGACCCTCTAACCTGAAAGAGTTGGAGCTCATCTCTAAAGATGAATGGGCAAAAATACCAGTGGAGACATGCAAAAAGCTGGTCAGCAATTATAGGAAGCGTTTGATTGCTGTAATAGCCAATAAAGGCTTTTCTATTGATTATTGAGAAGGGTATGAATAATTTTGGACATGCCACTTTTTGTTCAAATGTAAATAAAAGCTGAGAAATTTTTTTTTCACAATGATGCCTCTTGCACATCGTCTTATTATCTTCTGGGAGACGCCTGTGTCATTTCCAATCAAGCTTGACTGTAGATGTAGATTAATCTGTTTCATCTTGTTTCATTTTATCTCAGGAAAGAACTGTGTAGTCATCACTGCCTGATGCCTCGAGTCTTTTCTGTTCTACATGTAAAGGTATATAGCTTTTTAGGTCAACCATGGTATCGGATCGGTATCGGCTGGTACTCAAAGCCACAGCATCGGGATCTGTATTGAAACTGAAAAAGCTGGATCGGTGCATCTCTACAGTGCATGTGTGCAGACATAAACAGCTGTTAAAGCTGACTGACAGCTGATCCAACTGTGATCAGCTGACACTGTCACCAGAAATGGACATCGCTTCACATGACACTTTAAGAGGAAAGGACGTCTCATTTCTCTTAAGACATATTTCCTCATTTCCTCTCTCCTAGCATGGTTTCCTTGCATCTCTTCATGCATCCCTGGTGAGAGGGACTAAGATGCAAGGAAAAGACACAAGGAAAGGAAGCGTGGATGCGATTTAAGAGACTTGGGATGCACCCTATAATGTGTGCCTGCCACAGTGTTTATCTGTGTCAATGCTTTCAGAAACTAGACTAATTAAGATGAAGATCAAATATTTGACTTGTCTGGTGTTAATATCCTGTTCTGTCCAGGACTGACCTCGCTCCTCAGACAGCTTCATCATGGAGTCTTCGTACACACTGGTGTAAACATACGGCTCTATCAGAGTCTCACTCTGCCCCACTTCCTGTATCCTCTGGCAAAGTGTTTGTCCTTAAAGGTGAGCGATCAGCACTATTTCCCTGCTGTGAATTCAACACCTGCTCATTAATTATACAGCATGGCATCCTTCCTGAAAAAGCCACACCAGACACGACTGCTGGCACAGAGAGGCTCATTAAAGAGGAAGAAACCCACCAAAAGCTCAGAGGCAACACTCGGCTCCGACACCAGCCATGATTCAGCAGCACTTTCTCATTTTAAATCAGGTACGACTGAAAGTGTCAAGGACTTTAAAGAAAGTGTTAGTTTGTGTGAGCGTGTGTGCAGGTCTTTGATAGAAAAGATATTCTAGAGTTTCTAGAATGGAGCAATGAGATGTGTCCTGAGGTAAAGACAAGTCCAGTGTTTCTTTGTGTGTTGTCCAAAGCAGCAGCTGAGACCCCCTCAGTATCACAGCAGAGGATGCCAAAGCATCTGATGGTCACAGTCTAAGTAGCTGGCAAAGGAGGCAATGGAATCTCCTGAACTAGAAATACTTCAGCTGTGAGCTCCACAGTGCTCTAGGTACTCAATAGAAGATGGGGATAAACCACACAGCAGAAACCTGGAACCACAGCCGAACTGTAGAGTTGGCTGAAGATCATTAAAAGCCTTTGTTAACATAATAAAAGCTTTCCTCTTCCATCTGTTTAAAGCAGGGAGTCCCAAAGTTTTGATGACTGTGAGCCAATTTAGAGAGCCAGCATGTCGCTGAGGGCTGCGCAGGTTCAGGTCAGGACACAAGATGTAGGCCACTGTCACCAAGCAGTCCCACCGAAGTTCTTCATCACTGAACAACTCACATTTGATCTCACAAAGGTGCTGTGTTAAGGTCCAGACACACCAAACCGACTTCAGAGAACTAGCAGCAACTAAAGCCGACTGCTGCGTCACCTCACGTGATTGTGTCTCGGCAAGAAAGTTGCACATGGACACACTGCAAAAACTACAGCTGATGGCCAACTAGCACTTACATTCTGCGCCTACATGAGAGGAAATAACTCTCCACGCCAGCAGACGGTGATCGTCTGTAATCGTCATTCAAAAAGGGAAACCAGAAGACCATCTTGACGCTAGTTAGCACATTAACAACACAATCCAATGTTGAAAGAATAGAGCATATTTACTGTGCGCCAGACAGTGAGCAATACACAAACCATCAGGAAATGTTTCTGCTGAAGAGCTCAATGGCTTAAGAAAAATAA